GGCCTGAGCCAGGGAACCGTTGCAATCCAAAGATACTTTGAAATAATTACATATTCTGCTCAAGAGCTGTTAATTGCACATATTCACAGCTTTCTGCTGATGTATCATCACTGCCACTCTTGGCCATCAGCGACATAGAATCACCCAGAGTCAGAAGTACGAATGGAAATCTGCTGCAGCCTTTTTCAGATCTCTGAATGGCTGTTGACAATATAAAGCCATAAAACGAGCCTTGTGCTCAGAAATGTTCTCTGACAAAGTGCTATTCCTGTTTTTTTAAGATAGGAATCACTGCCTTCGCAGGCTCTGAATCTGTACCACTGTACCTCGTCGTCTCTCAGTCCAGCACAATAATTTTCAAATAAAGAAGAAAAGGGTAAGTGGACCTTACGGTGGGCAAATTAACTGTCAGCCTCGATTTTCATGAATATAACATCGAGAAAGTCTTGGAGAGAATAAATTTTGCATCAGAAAGTTGGGCGTCCAGCAACAGCAAACCGGCCTTGATGAAGTCACATGACACTGAACAACGGAGACCAACTCTACCGCCTCAGTTTGACTCAGACTTTCTGAGGACCAAAATACACTTTCAGAACTAATACATAAAGGTCACGAGAATTCTACCACATGAAGTTTGACTGTTCTTTCTAGACACTTCTATAGGTGAAGTACAAAGGCTTACAATATTAAATTCTATAGTTTAGTTTGCACATGGAATCAGCCTCTTTTACTCTATCTATCCATCCATCCATCCATCATCTGTTCACCCTTATCCCTAGTGGGGTTGGGAGTTGCTGGTGCAGGGTCATACTGGACTGGTCGCCAGTCTGTCGCAGGGCAACACAAACAAACAGGACAAACAATCATGCGCACACACACACACACACACACACACACACACACCACACACACACACACACACACACACACACACACACACACCCCCACACACACACACACACACACACACACACACACACACACACCTAGGAAGAATTTGGAAAGACCAATTAACCTAACAGTCTCGTGTAGGTCCTTCAAATTTGGAGCTGGTTCCATCCAAATTTGGGCCTGTGCCACAGGGCTCACCAATGTCTCGTCAGTGACAAACTGAGAAGTCCTCTGGTAGCATCATTCTGCTCCACATGGCTCCAAACTTCCCTTCGATGCTGCATAGTCTTCCGAGAATGTGTTTTGTGCCCACACTCTGTCAACTTATGCATCTTCAGTCTCTGCAAGTGTCACTGGCAATGTTTTATGAAATAGAGGCCAAAACAAGAGAGCAGTCCAGATGTCCTGCATGGATACATCTTCGACAACCAGGACTTACTGCTAGCGATTCCGTGATGCTTGCAGAGGAAGGGCAGAGGAGGAGTCTGCTGCCACAGCAATGACATCTTGGATGATCAGGGGGTCCACTAGACAAACTGACGCCATGAAGCGTGGCCTGCTAAGTGGCAATTGAAAAGCTGAAGAGTCAGCTTAAAGATGCTAATTTGAAAGCAAACAGGATAAGATCAAAACTTTATGGTCTGCAGACCACGACATGCTGGCAAACTATGCTGAAATGCTGAGGGTCAATGTGCTTCCTGGGGGATTCATTGTTCACCCCGACACATCATATCTTGATGCAACTCCAGTTGGCAAGGTGTATGACCCATCAGAATCACCCCGTTTGGACTGGTTGAGGTAAAAAGCAGGATGAAGAATGATGTGTCTCAGGTTGCTCACCTCAAGGTTCAGAATAGCCATGCTATTTTGAAGCTGAAGAGTCAGCTTAAAGATTTCACTTTGAAAGCAAACAGAATCAGATCAAAACTTACTGTAGCAAAGGAGGTCACCCAAAATATGCAACAGCTGGACAACCAGGTGAAAAACGTACAAACAGAGGTGAAGGAAATTAAGGAAATGCAAGAAATGAAGAGAATACATAGTAAGCAGCAAAATAAGAGGTTTGTCTTAAAAGATTTTCCATCAGGCATCAGAACATGCTTAGGCATAGCTCTTATAATTGTGGGGGGTAAATGCATATGGAAAGCCTCTGCTTCATGGACCTTTTAAGAAGGGCAACGGCCGAATTGTGGAGATGATGTTAAGGGACACATTATACATGCTGTCATTTTCCCCAGACATCTTTATGGTTAAAACTGCAACTACCCAGGCAACGACAGTCATCTTCAAAGATGGACAGAACCAGCTCATCCATAAAAATGGTATGGCTTTTGATATTGATATTTATGATGGACTGTTCTATTTAAATCCATAAATCTGTTTGAATCCAATCAGTTAGCTAAACTATGGATGGATTTTATCCCATCTTTTCTAGACGGAGCAACTGAAGCAGCTATTAAAGAAATTTCCTTTAATAGCAGCACAACTCAAACAACAAACATGAAAAGAAAATCAGCAGGCTTTGATTTTTTTTATTCAGCAGGATTTCCTTATGGTTACAAGTCCGGTCAGGATTTTGGTGAATTTTGGAGGTGTGGCAGTTTAAAGCCTTTTTCCCACTGAGCCGGGTGAGTTCGGTATGCTATTTTATTTTTTCCCTTAGTACAAGTGGCCCACACAACCGATCTGTACCCCATTGTTCCTGGGCCCCCTTCAGTTGCAGGTCCATAGGTTTAATGGTACAGTACAAGTAGGGTGGAACTATAACCACAACATAGTCAGTTGAATAAGGAAGAGAAAACTATCACTGGTTGACAAACATGAGACAAAATCTGTGGCCTGACTCCGCCTGCCCAGTAAGCCTAAAGGAGGTTGGAACCGGTCTCCTGAATATACCAGGCCCTTCTCCACAGGCTTAGATTCATTGTGGTTTTACGGAACCACCTCAGGGGTTAGAACAAGCTGGACCTTGCCATGCATTGCATGCAAATGATTTGATTGGCATTCATTGACCTGGATTTCCATCAACAAAAAAATGTTTACTGCCTGCTCATATTCACACTGACATAGAGAGACCACAATGCCAAAGGCGACACATCCAACTTGGCAATAAACCAGACCTTAACTGGCTAGAGTGAGACCTGATAATGGAGAAGGGGTTATAGTGGATCAAACCGAACCGACTCGCGCTGTACTGCTCATGAAATGAGCCATGACAGCCAAGCAGTCTTACAACTTTAAAGGCCTCAGCAGGACAACAAATGGATTTTAGCCTGAAATAAGTGAGACCGTAACCCTGCAAAGAACAGGTTCTGAAAAGTTTGTTATAAACCAACACTCACATTGGAGGATATTTTTTGTCTTGTTTTTTAAATTTGACACACTAGCTGAATGCCACAGCATGCTAATTTCTTCCCTCCAACACCAATTCTAGCTGATATTGTTTTCCTTTTGCTAAACCGGCCATAGGGTTCCTTTTCCTTATATATTGAGGAGACACCGCCCCTGAGCAGTGTGACTGTTGGGTTATGCGCTTCATAGTCTTTGAATTTATTGTGCCCCCTGCTCAATCTCCTGCTGCGAGACACATCAGGGCAGAATTATAAAAGCAAAGAGCAACCAGAAAAATAACAGGATTCAGCAGTGGAAAAAATAATACTTTGCTTTTTGTTAGCCTATCATTTTATCCTGAGGTCGTTTTAGTTCCGTGAATGTACTTCACATGCTTTTTCACTTAAATTCTACTATAGTTTGTGTTGCCCATGGTAACAGCAGTGCTTGTGTCATTATGAATTTTTACAATGAAATGCTGAAACTGTAATTTTAGGACTGGTGAGCAACAGGGATTAGAAGCTTTCCACAGGACTAATGGGCAGTTTAGCATGTGCAAAAGCTTCCAGTTGAGTATGATTTCATTAAAAACAGTGAAAACCTATGTTTGAAAAGCGCTGCCCTCTGATGTAGCAACGTTGCAGATTTATCATCACCTCTTCAGATCACTGCTGAAATTTAATGAGAAGAGAGAAAAGCTTTGCTATGTGTAATACAGCTGATGGAAAACAAATTATGTCTGTGAGAAAAACGTTCCAGTATGTTTTTGAGTAATGGAAAATCATTTGACTTTTGATAGGCAGTTGCTAAAGCTATTGATATGGAAGGGTTACTGTAACTTTCAGAGATTAGTCAGTTCATGCCATACGTCACAACATAATAAGAGTTTTAACAAATATGTGAAAATAAAAAAAATAAAGTTCTTAAAGTTACATACTGCAGCTTTAATTTCACTTAGGAGAGGACAGGTTAGGAGGGACGTGGGTCAGAGCTGCAATTTATGTTCTGTAAGGTTTAATTAGACACAAAACTAAGTTTGTATTGTTTTGTGTTCATTCTGTCTGCAGTTTTCACTGCAGGATGTAAACAAGGAAGTCAACAGTACATGGTCAACACCTTACTTCATGTCTCCCTCTCATCATTTGATGTGGTTTAACTCGTTGTTTAGTCAGAGTTGTTATACCCTGGATGAGAACACTACAATATTACATCACAAAACTGCAATCTAGGTGGCATCCAAGAACATTTATTCATTCAAGAATTCAAAGATTCAAGAGTATTGAGAAAAAATGAATGAAAACTCTGATACCCAAAAGGAGATAGCGAAAGACTTGGGTAATTTAATTCAAGTTATCCAAAAAGTAAGAGGCATTTTGGGTAAACTGAGCATAAAGAACAGCCTGGAGTGGTTGAATAATTTTTCATTAATTCAACCACACCATTATGCTGTTAAAAAACATTCTTAGGAGCGTTCCACTAGGTATGATGATGATGTGTGTGTGTGTGTGCGTGTGGGTGTGTGTATGCGTGTGTGTGTGTGCGCGCGCGCGTGTGTGTGTGTGTGTGTGTGCGTGTGTGCGTGTGTGTGTGTGTGTGTGTGTGTGTGTGTGTGTGTGTGTGTGTGTGTGTGTGTGTGTGTGGGGGAGTAGTTCTGAACCTTCGGCTTATCGGTCAGATTCAGCCTACACACTGCTTCTCTTAGGGAAATCTCATTTTGCGCATAAGATCCTGGAGGAGAGCAACAGCAGAAGATCTGGGGAGTTGGAGTAAACACTTACTCCTCCAATGAGACGTTGGAGATCAGCAGGGGGGGCACTGCAGACAGAGGAGAAGGGGGGCTGCTGGAGGTGGGTGGGGTTGTTGTGTCAGTGGCCATCCTTCTCTGTGGTGACGACGTCTGTGGGACGATCTCTAGCACCGCCCAGCACCTGGTGAACACACGCACACTCACTGAAAGTTACTGAATGATTAAAATACAGACAGTAATGTTAGCTGGCTAACATTAGCCAGCTAACAAGAAATGTGATCTTTCTACCCCTCTTCCCCCACAGCATAATGGACGCTGACATTGTTTCTACATTTCTGTTGTGAAATTGCTGTTGTTTTCATTTTGTTTTAAGAATGTTCTACAAATTGTCACAAATGTTCACAATTTCTTCTAAAAATGCTTAAAAAGTGAAAATATTTCAAACATGAAATAATTCTTGTATGAAATAAAACACATCATACTAAACATTATTTTGAATCAAAATGGCAAAAGTAGCATAAAAACACATTGATTTAAACACGGTTCCAAAAAGACACACTCATGGAAGACCGTATAATCAATTTGTCAAGCATCAGAGATTAAACCTGGCGTCCAGTTTGTTTGGTGTTAAGTCTGAATCATATGCCATCCATTTTACAACTGCCAGTGGAGTGGTAACACCAGTGGTAACATACAATTTTTACTGCTAAAAACAATCTTAGAAAACACAATTTGATTATTTTGTAATTGACAGTGCCCCATTTTTTAAAATTGAATTCCAACACCCAGAGATGTGATGGCTCTCACCCTCAACCCTCACCAGTGCTTCAGGAACTGTAATCTGTATTTAGAGATTGTTATTTATCTTCCAGCATAACAATCAGCCTCAAGGTTCAATCTGTCAACAGTTGTCTTGATTGCAATAACTTGATGTGATTTCAACATTTACAAATCTTATTGGTGGAAAGTTGAGTTCAGGCTAGAAGTGCTTTGTGCTATATGTAGTGTTTTTTCTTTTAATTTTTAAGGTGCTAAATAGTTTTTTATGACACTTTCAATCTTATATTACAAACACAGTAAATTTTGATTGCTTTTTTGTCTTTATGGAAATAGTTTGAAATGGTGACCTCTTTTCTTCTGCTCTTGTATTAGTGAAGCTTTACAGGCAGAACTGATAAAAGCATTTAACTATAGAGGCTGGTGCATATCTCTAGTGGGGTGGGGTACAGGACCGACAACAACAGGCAAATTAGAGATGCCTATTTTTGAGCTGTTACAGGAAGCTGGATTATCCAAAGGGAAGCTAAGACGAAACCAGCAACACTTGAAGAAACAACTTTATCGGCAGACCAACACATTTTACCTTCATCCGGTTGAATGTAAAACACCAAATTATGTTTAAATGAAAATGTACTGTGTATTAAAAAAAAACATTATGAAGCAATCATTCACACACAAACAGGCTGACCACTCAGCATTCAAGGGGATGATGCTTACTGAACAACTTCAAATCTAAAAGCAGTTCCTTCCCAAAGGCACACAGATGAGTCAAAACCATACAAAGCCATTGCAGGAATTCTAAAAAAAAAATAATAATAGCAAAAGAAAATGTTAATGATAACATCAATATTATAAAATAAAACACCAATCTGTCACAAAAACTAAAATGATAGGTAGCCTGCAGGATAATCATTTTTAAAATATACTCTGTCCTTATAAAGTTAATACTGCCAGCTTTTTGTTTTAATGACTTCAATATCAATTTACTTGCCTGAAATTATTTTTCATTAAAATGTCTTGCACATTTGAATAGAATCCATGCAAACTCCACACAGATTCCAACCCAGGACCTTCATTTCACAAGGCAACTGCAGCTGCATTTCCATTGAGCATGAACTTGTACAAATTGGAATTGCGAAAATAAATTTGCTGTATGAAAAAAACACGAATTTTGAAAAAAAAAAAAAATCTTTCTTTTTCTGATAAAACGTTTTTGAGCCAGGATGAAGTGTTTTTTCAGCTGTGTGAAATTGGTATATTTTGCAAAAACAATGCTGAGCTGTGGCTGAAATATGAATATCTCTCATGTTTACATCTGCTGCCTCCATGATTTTTAATGACATGTGAGGTGAATAAACTAATTCACATGGGATTTTAATGGCATAAAAAGGAAACACACTAATTCCCAAGTTCACAACTTTTTCGCTGAAAAGAACTAATGAGAAAAAAAAAACGGCACAAGGTAAGATGAAGCTTCCAGCTCAAGGAGCAACATACCTACTGAGTAATATGGAGAGGGTTCAGTTTTGTTTTTCTGCATCTGCCAGGTAGAACCTTGAATCTGTGTTGGGCAAAAAGGAGCAATAATACTAACGGGTGAAATACACTGATTAGTGTGGAGAAATGTAGCTTCCTTTCAGTCACTTCATGATCGTCCAACAAGATAATAACACCTAATAGCTACAAGCAAACACGAACGGCTGTGAGAAAAACAGAAACAACAACAACATTGGACCTTCATGAGCCTACATACTAATCCTGCTCAACATCTATGGAAACACAGAGTACCCCAGAGACAGCATGAGTAGTTTGCTCAGGAAGGGCGGGTCAAGCTGCCTGCTGGGAAATGGAGTACAGAGGTTGCTGCTTGGTGATGATTGTTGCACAAGGTCCTGCCACAAAATAACAACTTACAGAAACAATCTTTTTTTTCTGTACCATTTTATTTTATTAAATATTCAGCTGAATTAATGTTGAGACAAAAAGAAATTTATGTTAAAATATTTCAACTGTTAAGTTTCAAGTTAATTTAGATAGTCGTAGGACCAAATCTATCTGTATTTGCATCAGTTTTCTGAAACAAACACATCCCACTGAAACAAGAACCAAACTTGCTCATTCTCAGGTGGAATATTGTCTTGAGGGATTGGTCATGAATTATCATTCCCTTTACAACAACGAGAACTCAGGCACCCCTAACAGCTGCTGATGTCAATAACATTCAGACTCCTGTACCGACATCACACTGCAGGCATGCATTAAATGTTAACAGATCTGGGTTGTGTATTTTATGAAAGATGATGGTTGACCGGGAGGTCAAACTAAACACCCAGAGGGGAGGTTTCTCTCCGGTTTTTTACGGCTTTTTAAGTTTGTTGAAAATCAGAATGATAATTCTTCAGGCTATAACAGGCCTTTGAAAGTTTTCTTTGTGACAATAAAAAAAAGCCCAGACTGAGAAGCTGAGGTTGAATAAGAAATTCTTCCCTCAGAAGCAAAGGGCATAAAGGCCACAGAGAGAGGAAGGAGGGAGATGTGGAAGAAAAGGGGGGCAGGAACAAGCAAGCCTTCTCCTCTCTGCAGCTGTTGGTTGAGTCGGCAGTGCAGCTCTGAGAGATTTATCCTTTCATTTGTTGTGGCTTCGCTCGAGTGCACCCAACAACACACCATTTCTATTTTATTCTACTAGTCTTTCACTCTGTAGGGTGGCTCAACAGAATTATGTCCCCAACGATAATTATCAATCAAAATTATGTTCTGAAAAATGGAGGCAGAGGAAATTGCTTACCAGGACATCAAGCTAGAAAAGAACCCCAAAAGAAGAAGTGTGAATGGAGCGAGGGACCAAGAAAGAAAGAGAGATGGAGACTGAGGGGATTTGCATCTGTGCTGGGTCAGGACTCTGATTCCAGTCAATTCAGAATAAATGCTCACAGATGTCAAACTTTTTACAGAGTTAAATCTACCTAGATTAGAATGAAGAACCATGTTTACGCAAGTTTCTAGTTCAGTTTGCATCAAATATTTCAGACACCATTAAATTATTAAATACCAAACAGTCAGAAGATTGACCTTTATCAGTGAAAAGAGTTATGGTAATCAATTGTGCCATATTAATGAATTAATTTTAGTTTTGAGAGAACATTTGAAAAGTCTTCTTTTTATACCAATAATGGTGCCCATTTAAACAACTGCTGCTGTTTAAATGGGCAGTATTATGTGTTCCAGGCTCATAGTGCCATTTTATTGCACAATCAAATACCTTTATCCATTTAAAACCTCTTGACCTTTCTGAAACCTGCCTCCAGGAAGTCCTCACAACATGGCTCCTCATTTAACCCTTTAACAACTTCTTTGCCAGTGTTATATGTCATATAATGAGCTGCTCCACCAGGTGTCTGCTGATTGTTGCTGGCTGGTCTGAAGGAGCCGAGTGGGGGAGGTGCAGAGAAGGAAGCTGGGAAACTGCAGCTCTGAGAAGAGGCTGCGTCTTGAAGGCATTGCTTGGTCCACCCAGGGGACCATCACCACTGAATGGTTGCCATGGAGATTAAAAGATTTTTCAAATATGCATGGAAGAATCAAGGTAACACTCCAGATATAGATTTGATGACACACAATAAAGCTAAAAAAAATTACATAATACTGCCTCTTTAATAAAAGCATAAAAACCAAAGATAAAGTAGTTTTGTGCATAGGGCAGTAGGAACAATTTCAAAGCTGTTTGAAACAACTCTGGAGTGTTATAATGAATCAATAAATGAAGTTCTACAGTGGAAAAAAATGACTATACCAGAGCATTTGCCACACGACATTACTTTCAGAATGTGGACTGCAGGTTGGACACAAAACAAAAGGGGGAGGGGAAGTAGCCAGAAGCTTATAAATCTCAGGAAAGTGTCCCAGTGGAGAGAGACTTATTGTGTGGAACCACTGTACTCTGTTTCACCAGAAGCCGATCAGGAAAGTACACCATAGGTCAGAACAAAGCAGTCGTGGGGTTCAGCTCAGTGGAATCTGTCATGGCTGTGCAGAGACTCATCTCATGCACCGAGGCTAAACTATTTTTTTGCTGTATGGGTGAATTTATAAAAGGAGAAGGAGGAAACCACAGTTTGGACACTGAAACATGCTGTGTGATCCAGCTGTATAAAGCTGCTTGTGTTGTGGTGCTTGGCACTCCAAATAGAGTCAATTTTATGGAGAAATAAAGTAGGTTTGATGGGATGAATTTGAGTCTAAATAGAAAAAGGATAACCCAATTTTGATGATATTGCATTTAAAATTGAAAATGGCCAAAGTGTATAAAACACTCATTTTCCCAGTGGAAAAGTGAAGAAAGCAACAAGAATTCTAAACTAAACTCTTGAATAAAGTTGAAGCTCATAAAGTAGCACACCAACACACAAAGAGCCAGATATTAAACAAAACAGAGCAGCACCCAGCCTGGCCCTTCCTGTTATACTTGCATTAAATAGTTTTAATAAACATATGTCATTTTCATGGTTCTTTAACTTATACCAAAAATAAAACAGACTTGTGTGATATCTCTTCCTGATATCACACATCTTTGCTTTTCATTTTTCCATGTTACACGAGGCATTCTGTCTGAGGCATTCCTTAAAATACCTCCACTTAACTCAAATATTGTGAATATAACAATCTTAGGGCATTTAAACTTCTGACATTAAAGTATGTCTTTTCACACAATGTATGCAAACGTCTGGTTTTAGCTCTTAGTGCAGTTTGGTTCAAATATCTATCCTGCAGAAGCTTTTTCTGTGTAGAGGCCAGAAGACAGCAGGCTAAACATTCTCCCTAAATGCACCTGACTCCCCAGCAGTTAAGTGCGGAGACTGCAGATGGTTTTTGCTCTTTTGTGCACTTAGAGTCCTTTGTGGATGGTTATTTTGCCAGATGGCCTTTTATTTTGGCCTACCATGCTCACTGCTGCTTTCCGTGGTCGCTCCCTTCGAATCTCTGCCCAGGGTCTCAGAGGATCTTGCTTCTCCAGCCAGTTTTTTTTTTTTTTTTTTTATACAGCTTACACAGTGTCTTGTAAAAATTATTCACCAGAAAACATTAGAACAAACCCTAACCTATCACTAACCTATTTTGGTGGAATTTATCATTTAGCACAGGTTGTATTTGTGAAGGTGAAGAGCAATTTTTCAAAATTTTTAACATGTTTTAGAAATGAAAAGTAGACTACTTTGTTTTTTGTCATGATGGCGTAAAACTTTCTGAGCCACATCAACAGACACTTCCAGAAGACAAGTAACAATGAAAGATTTTTATAGCAAATAATAAATTATAAATGTACTCAGATCTGTGAAATGACTGGAGGCTAGGAATCAGGAACTCTGTGAGGAGACAGCACAGGTGAGATTGGGCTGATGGTTGAATGTTCATGGCATTTTGAGCAGCGCTTACGTAAGTTTGTTTAGATAACAAACTTAGATAAGGGAGAGCTGAATAGCGTGTGGTTGTTGATTCTTGTGTGGTTTTCCAGGAAGCGGCGGATCTTGTGGCAGAACGAGGATCACCAATTAGACAAGAGTGTTAGAGATTGGGCAGATAAGCGCATGAGGACGATGATGATGATGAAGGAGAACTTGAAGATGCCAAACGTAGAAATTGTTTCCAGAGAATCAGATTTGTATGGAGTCTTGAAGAAGGCACGGAAACCAGGTGGACACAGGAACACAAAGAGAGCAAGGGGACGCTATGAGACAGGGAGGACTTGGGCTCCCCACTCAGGGCTATCACTCAGGCATCAGAGCTCTGCGGAGGTAGAGCATGTCGCGAGAAGGAGGAGACTCCTGGGCTCGTAGCTGGAGGAAAGCAGGTGGTCCAGCCACTCCAGGGTCTTGACCATTCTGACACTAACTTGTGAATTGTCACATTTTGGCTCCACACATTAATATATTCCAATGTGTTTTCAGATATTGGTGAACTGTCACAGCAGACAATCAGTGAGGTTATTCCTGTGGTCCTCCAGTGGGTGTTTCCTTCAGGATGTCCAGAGACCTTCACCTTTCTGGAGCATGGATATCATATGCCCAAGGCACTTATAAAACATTTCTTAATAAAAAAAATATGGCTAATGGAGCTAAGGCGTAAATTCAAGCTGGGAGACAGAACACAGCTGATCTACAAACAAAGCTGATCCACTTCAATCACGTCACACCCCGCTGCGGCCAATCAGGATCGGAGCCAATCAACGTCAAGCCGGTCCATTCAAGAAGTCGAGCCTCCAGGGATCTGCCTGCTCGTCAGCTGTGCTTCGCCCACCTCCTCCCCATCTCCATCTTCAGCCCGATGACCATTCTCCAGGCGCCTTACGCGCTCCTCCATCCAAGGCTCCGCTTCATCACCATTATTCGGACCGAGGGGTAAGACTAGTGAGCTTCGCCGGACTCAGCATCTTTCCCGGCGATCTACGCTCACTAGTCTTCCGCCGGTTCGAGCGCCAAAGATTTGTTCATTAAAATCTCCTAACTGCTTATTTTTCTCTGTGTGAGTTGATCCAGATTGAAATGTTCTTACAGTGTTGAAGTGCATTAGCAATCTGTTGTTTATAATTACTCAATATATTTAATTATGATTCATCTGATGTTCAGATTACACTGAAAATGTATAAAGCTGGACTATATTGTGAACTGAGTAGTCCGAGTTATTTTTTTCTGTCATCTGTGTCATTTGGCTTCTATAAAGCATGGTAATTACTGTAATTAATAAAGTAACTCATAGGCCAACATAAAAATAAAAATCAGTCTAGAAAAGACAAACAGTGAAGGGTGCAGCTTATCGTCAATAGTTGATAAATTCATAGAATCACCCAACTTTACGATGAAACAAACTGTTCTTTGGCTCTTCCAATGTGAGATTATGGTTGACTTGTCAAAAGTTGCACACTCCTTGCTAATTTTCATCCTTTTCTATCAAGTTTTGAAGAAATTACAACCCACCATAACATGCAACTTTTTTAACAGAAAATCCCTAAGAATTTACATTATCAATAGTACACTTCAATTTTCATTTTGACTGAAAACTGAATATGATGTTAAAGCCTACAAAAAGATGTACACAACATAAAATAATTATTTGTTAAGAGTGCTACATCAAGCTGAGTGAACTGGACAGAGCATTACAGTTTGTCTGAGTGTGTTTGAGTTTTTTGAGTTTCTGACATGTTTTAAACAAAGGATTTGAATCTTCCTACTTTTGTCCATTTACCAGAGAACGTTCAGAACCATGCAGGTTGTCAGACCTCCAAGAACTGCTCTCCGAAACCACAGGATCTAGACAAAAACAAAAGGCAAGATCTCATTGGTAATGAGTAAACATGTTTTCTGTTGTCCTGTTTTCTATAATAACATCCGAGGCCTGCAAATCCTGTCTGTACAAGTACAGCATGGAGCAGACAATGAAAAGTTTCTTTGAAGATTATCAGGTTGGAAAATATCACTGAATCATCGATATATAGAATATGGCATTAAGAAATTCATATTTAGGCAGATGATGCTGTAATCAAGGAATTGCGAAAGATTGTCAAAGTGTGCCTTGAATGTTTTTCTATTAGACCATTTTAACATTGTCAGAATGACCCTCAATGCCTTCATATCAGATAATCCTATCATTTGTTAGACTAGTGGCAGTACAAAAGAGTGAATGAGACAAAAAAATGGCTTGAAAGGAAATCATTCGAAATATTTATTTAGTCCAGCACAGATGTGTGTTCAAATAGAACATTATTTTTTCTGCTATTGACCCTGACAAAATAGAGTAAAAAAAATGCAGATGTGTTTTTCTGACATTAAAGTACAATATTAAAATCTCTATTTTTCATTAATTGCATTAATTGTAAGAAATTAATTTACCTGGGCTTTCAAAAGCAACCTATGCGTCCAGATCAAACTTTCTAAAAATTTGATCATTTTTATTTTATTTTTTCCTGTTACATGAGTGTCTATGTCATTTCTAGTTAGGGGTTCCACCCAAAAAAAATAGTCAAATTATCAAACAAAGCAGATATAATCTAGTAATCACGTAGGGCTCTGTTGAAATCATTATTAAATGTTACAAAATGTGAAAGTAAAAATCTGGACAAAAAATTGAAAACTTCTTTCAGTCAAACCAAACAAAACAAAGCAAGATGATCTGTTTAAAAGGCATCTTCAAATTTATTTAAAGAAATCTTTTACATTCTTCTGGATAATTATTAATTTTAAACAGTTTTGTAGATATCAATATTTCATAGAATCAAAACCAGAAGCTGTGAGAACTGAAAGTCATTGCTTGCTTTTAGAAGTTAGCAGTGTAAGAACATCAAAACAGACAACAGAACAACAGGTAGAAGCAAATTAAGTCTGAGAAGCAATTACTTGTGTTTTGTTGTGTGAGATCTGAGAGAAAAGCAGAGGCATCACATTCACAATCCCACCTGTGGAGACAAGAAGAAAACAAGAGGTTAATTCCTCAGTCATTTACACAGTCTAATTTATTTGTGGTTTTTTGGGAGGTTTTTGACTTATTTTCTGGAGGCGCATCGATCAGAGTCTTGTGGCAAATTTCCAGTCTCCAGTTTTTATAAAGCTTCAGCCCTGTTCAAGTGCTAGTTTAGATTTTTTTTTTTTTTTTTTTTTTTTTTTTTTTTGTGAAGTGAGCTTTTTAGAAATCTAATCTTAGGACAATTTTATTCTGGTGAAAAAGAAAAACTAACAATCTCTTTTGAAATTGTAGACTACTCTGGATTTTCAAAATTCTTCTGTGGAACAAAAATTAATAGGATTAAAAGACATAGAGAAGCGTGCTTTAATTTGTTAAAAAAAATTAATCATGGAAAGTTTGGCCATTTGTGGATTTTTCAGTAGAGCATATGTAAAATATTTATATCAAATAAATATTTGGGAAGATGAAACACCTCAGCTACTTGACATGCTGTTGGCTAACATTTGAAAAGCAGTCAATATGTTATTTATTTTCCTCTAACCTGATTGGATGAGAGCAGAGATCAGGAAAACTGTGGCTGTTGGAGTCTGTGGTATGCTTGACGTTTCCCACTGTGTTTCAACTATTGTCAATAAGAATTTCATAGAATGTGACTTAAAAGAAAAATTCTAAATAATTCGTTCAGCCTTCCTGCTAGCTGCTGGATGTCTGGCTCTCTCTCACTCTTTTGCAGTCAGAATGAATCACAAATTTGTAGTAGGATACAAATTTCTATTAAATAGTTTCTTACATCTCTCTGACTTATCAGAGCTCATTTTAAAACAAACAGCTAATGTTGTCATGGTGATCTGGTATGCTCAGTTCACTGATTGTAAGAAGACTGAGTATCCTGTATAGTGGTCATCTGTCATAGTTGATCTAGCTGAATTTTCTCAGAATATTGCCTTTTGTTGTTTGACAAGCTAATTAAATTGTGCACATCAATTTGTCTAATCTATACATTAGCCTATGTATTATATCAATATAGTTTCAAAACCTTCCTGCTTACCATAGAAAGACCAGTTTTTTTATGTAACCAATGGACAAGTAATAGAAGGAAATAATATTTTGGACATAGATTTACTTCTTTCTAATGTTTTCCTTCTGTTTTTCTCCTTTTTAAATTTATTTTTGCTTTAAAGTTATCTGGCAGATTTTTAAATCTTGACCAAATTTTCATGATCAAGGAAAGTCTTTTTTTTAAATCTCGACAAACCGACTTGAAGTAGTTTTTTTTTTTTCGCATTCCAAACCATTAGGAATGACAAACTGCAAAGCGGCTGTCACAACTGGCAGCTTGCATATTCCAACAGGCCTCTGAAGTAATAGAAACCGCAAAAAGTACAGTCAGAGCTGTCACAGAGAGGGTAATGTATCTGAACCATCATTCCTCATCATCCCACAGCTGATGCACAAAATCCATGCTGCTGCTGCTGGTAGGAAGAAATACACTTAATGGAAATTCTTACTGAGAGACAAATACAGGTAGAAGCTACCTTCTAGCTAAACATGGAAGGTATCTTCTACCTTTAGCCATTACTTTGTTCCGGTTTCTTGTAGTCCACAAACACTTTGAAGCTGAGCTAACTAACGTGAAGCAATGTGGCTGACACTAGCATGCACTGCGAACAGTGCCTGGGTAAACAGATGTGGGTCTCAGGTGGGAATAATGTGGAAGGTTTTAACAGCACTGTAAACTGCATTTAGCAGCCCTCAGAATTATGTGCAGTGCTTCCAAAAAGTCTCCACAAGAGTCAAGATTTTGTAATGTAAAAATATGTCACTATTTTAAATCATTTCACAACAGGCAACATAATTAATGTGGCACTTATATTGATAATAAATCTATCAGTAGGGGGAAAAAACTGAGTTGGTGCATCTTTTTTTATTTACATTTCTCCTTACACATTTATTTGTTTCTGAATTGAATTTTATTTTTATTATTTCTTTTAATTAGATAAAACCCACTGAGATCTAGATCTCATTTTCAAGATGGACATGGGCATACTTAAGGTTGCTATGCAATAATCTTCAAGGAATTCTCAGCAGTTTTTAGTATTTTGGAGTTGAAACAGACAGAAATAGAAGAAAGGCAAAAGGACCAGAAAGGATACAGACAAAAGAAGGGAAGTGATGAAGAACAAAGCTGAGTCTCACCTAGAGCTACGGTGCCCATTAGGAAAGGTTTCCCCATCTGACTGAAGTCACTGCTGCTCTGCAGGCCCACCTCAGAGCCCACTGCAAATGTCACCACCACCTGAGACACACACATCCGCACACACACAATGCAGAGCGGTAAAAAAGTTAAAGAAGCACACCTAAAACAGTCCAGCTTTGATCATCAATGAACCTCTGCTTTAAAAAGAGGAAGTCAGTATTAGGTACATGCTAGAAAAAATTGTTCATTAAAAAGAACAACCAAGACAGAAATAAAAGTTAGAGAATCTCTTTAGATCTATAATTTTACTAAGTACCATGAGTTACAAATGTAGGCAAGCAGCCTGCTAACAAGGGAAATGATCTTGCTTACACAGATTTACACAGACGTAAGCTGGTCTTTTTGAAATTCTACAAAAAGCAACTAGGAACTTTGGTTTCTGATCTGCAAACTGCAAATTAACTTATGAACTTAGTCTTCCCATGTACTATGAATGCTGCAATGTACATGTTTCACTTCAACCATCAATATGTCCCATAATTCTGAAACCAGATTATGTCTAGAAATAAGGTCAAAAGGCAACAAATTAGTAAATGATATATCAAATCAATGTCATCAATAAATGCAATTGACTCATATTATATAGCATACAATACTGAAAATGAACAAACATTTTTCCAACAGTGCATGGAAAAATGCACTTTTCATAGAATAACAACTTGTTTCCCTGTTTGTTTTGGTCTGAGCTAAGAAAATAAAAAAATATGACAGACACTTACTAATAAACTTAATTTACGTAAGAGACTCAAGAAGAAAGATAGAAGAATTACAGTTTGGAGTTTTCTACACAGCAAACGTGTAGAAGAATGAGTTCTGGACAAATGACATACATGTAATATGTTACATGTGGCTTAAAAACAACATTTCTCATCAACCCATGTCCTATAGACAAATATAGTGGTGGCTGCAGAGAGAATCAAGGTAAATGGATTTATATGGTTAATTACATGCCAAACTGGAAGAACCAGGTTGAGGCTGGACTGAACATTGGATGCTTTCTATCCAATATGACTGAATGTGAACTATTTTTGTTGGATTCTTTAAAGTACTGACTCTGGGAGCCTGAATATAAAACAAATCACACTTTTTATTTGTGAAATATTTGGGGAAACAATTTTCTGTCTTTGTTGACAATTATGCCTTAAGTTGTGTAGGTATATCGCATAAAAATCCCAGTGTATTTATGGTGGTGATTCTTATAGAGAAAAATGAAAAAGTTGAAAGAGTGTCAATACTTCAGCAAGACACTGTTGCAGCAAAACATGGCAACTGATGGGGAGGATAGAAAAATACAGAAAAGACTAGAAAGGTACCTATTGGTAGTTAGTTGAAATTAGGTAGAAAATGTTATACATAATTAAGGAATATTGATATTTATTACTTTTAGAGATAAAAAAATAACAATTTTAAGAGTAATTTATACATTTAACAGACTTGGAAAGATGTTTTAGAGATGGTTGTGTTCACTCTCTCATGGTGGGATTATTCCAGTTCTGTTTGGACGAACAGCAGAATCCGGTTTAAACACACAAACACACATGCTCCATAAATTTGACTGTGCTGTCCTCCTCCCTGTGATCTTAGCGCCCTGAACTAGGCTGCAGTGCTGCCCTGCTGTCATGGGAGCCAGTGGCATTAAAGGTTCAATGACAACTTTATTAGAGGTGAGAGTCTTTATTAGAGGTGAGAGTCTGGAATCCTAAGCAATTATTAAGCCTGAATAAATGTCACACTAATTATTTCCAGAAAGCCGTGAAATTGCGGTCGATTCTCCATGAATAATCGTCCCTCCAACACTGTTCAACTGCTTGGTGCATGAGAAAGTGTGTGAATGTGTATGTGTGAAACAATGCAGCATTTTCATGTGTGGCTGATGTAATGACTAAAGCTACACTTAGGCCTATTTCACAGTGACTTAATAGAGCTTCTACAAAGGTGCATAAACTTAATTTGGGTTCTCCTGTTATTTTATTTAGCTGCAGGTTTTTGTGTGAAGCAATCAGTCAGATGTCAGGCCTTAAGGAGCTGCTGGTGCAGCACATCGATTTGGACGAAATTACAGAGAGAAGAGAGTGCTGGAAAGAACCGAGCAGGAGAGAGGCGGAAAGAGGGGAATTCATTTTCACCAGGACGCAGGGGTCCCATAAGGCTGGGGCAGATGTGATTTTATTCTTTAATTAGCATGTGTACTTTTTGCTATTCCCCAGCAAACGGGATGGAGCACAACATGAGAGGCAGCTGAAAGTTAACTTCAGAACAAAGCGTTGCATAATGGATCTCCCAGATCCTGCGCTCCAGATGGATGGCGAAGATATGCTGGCAGGAAATGGAGGTAGGCAGCTTCACAGCTGTGTTTGGAGGAAAACGCTGCTGTCAGCCATCTCATCTGTCCAATCACAGGACTGGAGTTCACATGTCTGAGGAATCACTATTGCTGTGTTCACAATCATCCACAAACCTCACTGTGTTTTACTGGGATTTTACGTCAGCGCATGATTGTGAAGTAAAAGGAAAATGAAATATGATTTGAAAATTGCTTTTCATTAGAAAATGGAAATTTGTTGTTTGCCTTCAGTTTGAGCTCAGACTCAATGAAAAGAATCTTTGAAAGTTTGCACAGTCAATCTAGATCTATGACTGGGACAGTAAATGCATGAACAAACTTTGATCTAAGTTACGCCATTGCGACTCTGTATGTTAGAGTCACTGTGCCTCCACACTAGTCTCTCTCTCTCTCTCTGTATGTACATATATATATATATATATATATATATATATATATATATATATATATATATATATATATATATATATATATATATATATATAGTAAACTTGAAATTACATAAGTAGCTTTTCAAGATTATTTTAATCGAATTTCTCAATACTGATTCAAAAATGACATGTTCTATTGGCAAATTGTTTCACTTATACGGAAGATGACTTTATGTAAATTAAATAATCTACAAACCCAGAACAGGAATCAAACCTATTAGAACAAAAAAATCCAGAGAAACTTCAACTAATTCATACAGAGAAACTCTTACCAAACATGGAGAACCAACATCTAGTTTTATCACAAATCCTACTAATTTATAAATTACAGACTACTTTAATGTAAAAGCATTTTAAACTTGTTGCTGAAAATGTTCTATAAAATAGAATGAAGTTACTAACAGGACAAATACATTTTCATCAATACGAAGAAATTGTTTTAAAACAGCAAGTTCCAATTCCTGCCAAATTCCAGCAACTTCACATCCAAACCTAATCAACTCAAAAGGAGATGTGTTGCACTGCATGAGGTACATGGTGGTCACACCAGATATCAACAGGTTTTCAATGCCCCCAATAATCACATTTCAGTGTGGCTTTTATTGTGGCCAATATTAGCACATCTGTAAATAATCATGCTGACTAATTAACATCTTATTAAGTCACACCTGTGATGTGGGATGGATCATTTATGCCTCTTTGCTAACAATCAGATTTAAATCAGATTTAATTTCAACAATATTTGAATTTATTTTGTGCATATAGAAAATGTTTTAGATTTTGAGTTCAGCTCACAAAAAATGGGAGCAAAATCAAATTTGTTGAACATTTTCATTTGGTGTCTAAAGCTCCCAAACTTAAATCTTGCATAATATTCCATCTTTAAAATTCTACACACCTCTTTTATGAAATGAGCTTTCCCAAATGAGAGGGCTTTCACTTTTCATATGTCCTCTAACATTGTTTTCTTGTACCTTATGCCCCTCATCAGTTCTGTTTATTCATTGGCATACTGGCAGATGAACGGATGCTGTGGGGATTAGTTACAAAGACATTGATTTTAGTGTTATTAGATCTTGTGCCGCAGGCGGCAGGAGAGTCAGCCGAGCGGTTTATACTGCAGCCGTCAAACGACTTGGGGGACAGACGTTAGAGGATGACCACATCAAAAAAGAGCCTACATTCAAAGTCGCCATCTCCTCAGATATTAGTATTTGACCGTGAAGAACAATTTCTATCTAGAACATAAGCTGAAAGATGTCTTTCTCATTAAAAATACCCTGAATGAAGTGAACAATAATCATAGAGGATGTGAGCCTTAAACTGGTGGGTGAACATGCATAACTGATCAAAATCAGGGTTATGAAAGTTTTGGGGTTTTTCACGACTTTTTGTTTGTCTAACTCAGTTAGTTTTAGTTAGTTCTTGGAGAGTGTTTGCACATTTTTATTAATTAGCATTACTTCAATATTAAGTTATTGTTTAGTTTTTATTAGTTATTGTAGTAGTTTTAGTTTTTCATACTTTGGTTAATTTTATGTGCAGAATTCAAAGAATATTGGGATTACATCGATTGGGTAATGAATATTAAGCAGAAGATATCATTTTCAACAAATGTACTCAATTATTGTTGCACAACCAGTTGACTGTTTTCTCCCAACTTTTTCTGTTCTCATTTTGCAGATTAGCATTAGCGCCACCTGGAGGAGCATAGAACGCCGTAATTTACCCACAGCTATGTGGGTGGAAAAACAAAAACATCAATTTCACATCAGGCAAATAAATGGATTCATGAACTTGAAAATGATGGATATATGTATAATTTCCGTACGTTTTTGTTTTATAAACATAGTTCCAGTTAGTTGTAATTTCCCCCCATTAATTACCACTTTTATTTATTTCAGTTAACACAAATGCTTTACTTTTAGTTTTGCTGTTTTGTTAGTTTTAGTTGCTTGATCAGAATACATCAGGATGCATGAGCCCAACACCAAACTGTTCAGCAACATGCAGTCAGTGAGCCGCATCTCCCCAAAGGATCTCCTGTCCTTGAAGAACAATGAAGAAATGGGACAGACTGCAACACAGCCTTTTGAGCAACAAACACACTCACCTCAACAGGGTCTGTGTCATGGAGGTGGTGGTTCAATTTCGCAGTCATTATTGACGCCTATTTTTTAACAGGAAACTGATAAAATCATCCTGACACTTCATCATGATGTACCTCCTCATGTGCGTTATTTTGGGAAGTAGTCAGTGTGTTTTTGCACCCTAGATGGAAATGTAGATGCACACACACACACCCGCACACACATGCACACACACACACACCTCTACACACACACGTCCACACGCACACACACACGCACACAGAGTGAAGGAACAGTGACCTGGAGCTAAGTCCCAAGCAGAAGGAGGTGCTAAGATTTAGAGGTTCAGCTGTGTACCAGGGCACTGAGAGCTATTCCTTCTTCTGTGCATCAATATGAGTGAGAGCTGGTCAGGCAAGGCCGAGTGCTCCCGAATAAAACACACCACCATCAAGAACAAGCCATTTATGACCCAGCAAATGGGATTTTTTTTTTCTGTTTCTGGTTGAAATATTAATGTTTCTATCTAGCAAAGAAAACAGTTTTCAGGCTCTTGAGTGTAGCTGGGCTGGGGTCTGAGCCCAGAGCCCAGCCCAGAGGTCCAAAGAGGTTTACCAGAGAGCAACCTGGAAAAACAAAGACAATCAACCCTGCTCACAAACATTCACACCTACAGGAAGGATTAAAACAGAACGTGAATGTTTTGAACTTTGGAAAAGAAATCTGAACACCAAAGGAAAGGAAAAACCCAAAACAAAACACACACATGTAATGTATCAATCTAGCATTTATATGACAGACACACAGTAGCACATAATAGTGAATAGTTAAATGGAAGTGTTGCATGTTTTTCTCTTTCATAATGTTTTTTTATTTTACTGTGCCATGCAACTTTGTTTTAGTGCAACTGTATCATTTTGGTTCTAATGTATTTCTTTCTTGTCCCTTCTTGTTTATTCTTGCATTACTCATTATTTAGCTTCTTTGCTGTCACGCTGACTTATAAATATATTATAAGTATTGAAGGTATACAAATATACCTTCAATAATTAAATTTTCCCACATGAAAAGTTCAAAGTATATTTATTGGATATTTTATCTAGTATGCCAATGCAAATTAGAACATAACTAAACAGTACAGAAAATGATAAAGGATTTTAATTTTTTTTTTGCTTCATTTACAATTAACATTCTTGTTAAAGGAGAGCTGCGACAGACTGGCGACCTGTCCAGGGTGACCCCGCTTCTCACCCGGAACATTAGCTGGAGATAGGCACCAGCACCTCCCGACCCCATTAGGAACAAGAGTGTGAGAAAATGGATGGATGGATGGATTAAGGAGAGTGACAGCTTTACTGAAGGTTAGGATTGGTTTGCAGAGAACATCTGACTGAACCACCAACTTTTGGAATAACCTTCTCTGGGTTAATGAGACCACAGTGGACATTCTGTCCATATTCCACAGTTTGGGAAATAAACCCTGCATATCAACACAAACACCTCACACAAGCTATACGGCACAGTGGTGGAGATAATTGTGGTTTGTTCTGTAGCCACAGGCTTCGGTATCCTTAAAGACACTGAAGTATTCTGCAGTCATGCTGAAGTTGGACTGAAAAAGACTAGTTCAAGCAATGTATGAATATTGTATGAAAAGTGGAACAATGTGAAAACAGCTGCTTCAGGTGATTATTGCTGCTACAAATTGCACTTCTAGATTGCTGGAGTGTAGATTGTTTTTTCCCAAATATGCTCCCATAATTCAAAAAGAAGGACTGTATTTTGTGTGTGTGTGTGTGTGTGTGTGTGTGTGTGTGTGTGTGTGTGTGTGTGTGTGTGTGTGTGTGTGTGTGTGTGTGTGTGTGTGTGTGTGTGTGTGTGTGTGTGTGTGTGTGTGTGTGTGTGTGTGTGTGTGTTTTTCTTCCCATTGCTCTCTTGAGGTTAGACTGAAGTGTTTGATCTGCAAAAACCCAGTGACTTCAAATGTCACATTGCAAGTTTCGTTGAGATATTATGTGACACAGCTACACAAACCAGTGCACTGTTTGTAAAGGACAAACAGTTCTTTAAAACATAAAAATATGTACTGTGATGAAATTTTCATCTTATTTTTGTTAATCAATACTTTATTGATGAAGAGCCTTCAACAAAGAGTTGTGTTTCTCTATTTTTTCACTACAGGTCCTAAAAATCTACTATAACAACATCTGAGTGGAAAAGCGGAGGCTTTACACCACGGAGGTACAGGCACTGGTGATGGTGGTGTTGCCTAGTAACCTTGTTCTCAGTGGGTCTACTATGAACTGCATTCCTTCACTTAAATCATTAAACAAAGGGACATACAGATCCTGTGGTTCTTTTTTCTGTCTAGTTAGTCCCTGCTTTTCCATTCTACTATATAATTTTAAAGAAGCAGTCTACTCTCATGAAGTATGACAGAAAATGATCAAACAAAAGCAGTCTTGTGCTTATTGATATTATTTATGTGAGCCATATGACAAGACTGAATTAAAGCAGACTACAAAGATATTGTCGAACAAACTTTTTAATTATTTGTTGAAACTCACATAAATAATATTACCTTTGCAGATACAAATGGAGGCACTGGCAGAATGAAACATCCCAGAGAAGAGGGTGCCATTTTGTACCAAACATTCTGATATGAAATGACCAAAACTGCAAAAGGATAAAATGATAAAAATATTTTCTAAAGGAAGTCAAATCACCCCAAAACGTTATCTGAGGAAACCAGCAAGTGGCTGACCAAGTTTGAAAATTTAAAAACCAGTGACAATGTACATTTTATAATGAAAGAGGTTAGTCAGTAACAAACTCCATTGTGGGGCAGCACGTCCACCTTACACTCTTGCAGGTGCATCTTATGCAATAAAGAAATAAATAAAGAGGGTGGAACAGCTAAAAGCAAACAAGACATCACCAGAGTAGCAAGCAGTGCATATAATACAGAAGTTGATTTAGTTCAGAAAATCTTAGTGTTTACTATTCCCTTGAGAAGTTATGTACGTTTATGTCACAGTAAGGCCCTGGGCAAGCAACTTGTTTAATAAATAACTGCCTAAAATTGAAAACATGTCTGGTCCAGAAAAGTTATCAAGTTAATAATGCTAAGTTACCATAGGCAATAGGTCTCGTGCAAGGACAGAAGTCATTGTATGCAAGTAGTGTGTTGTGCAGTAATAGACTTGATTTGACAATGAATAACATAAAAAATGCCAAAGTCAACAATTAAAGCTAATAATTTAGATATGCATTACCAAGTCGGGGCACCACCTAATGATCATGAAATAATAGCCAATTACTTCTCAGTCTCAGTAATTGGTGTATGAAGATGTGCCTCATAAAGCTTACTCATAAATAATAACAGATGAAAGATTAGGTCACACTGATGTTTTCAAACAGATAAATGGAGAATAAACACAAACAAATTGTTCCCAAAATATAAGAATATCTTAAAAATACACCAATTTCCAGATAACATTTCTTTCAGTGAACAAAAGAAGGTAGTTGCATTCTCAATTAAACTATTGAAAATAATCAAGACCAATGAAATACCAAAAGTAACAGTAAAAATGTAAAAAGAATAAAAGCAGTAACCAATAAAAGGATGAAATGTTATCCCAGTTTGACATCAATGTGTTTACTTAAAAACCAAGTTTTTGAATGAAGCTAAATTAGCTAATAACTAAGATTAGTTCAGGATTCATCACTCCCAGTTGGTGTTTGTGTTCCAGTATTCTGGCAACTTTTACCAATTCAACCTGGAAAACCATTTGTTATTAACTGATTTTTTGCAATGTTTTTTTTTTAATCTATATACATTTTGGAGGTAGTACGGTAGTAGTAGGAGCACCTGTCTGAGCTCTGTAGTGCGGACTGGTGAAATGATCCAACGGTGCATCAAAATCTACACTAAACTTCTCCCAAAGTAAACAGATGTGAGATGTTTGCCAACATGTAGCATCTATATTACAGCAGCACCAGCAGATGTTGCAACTAGCTCTACAGCTCTTTCAGAATGTAATCATCTGGGATGCAATTGTGTTAAATGGACTCTGGCCCATACCCAAAGATTTCTCTCCAGAGCTCCCAGTGAGCCACTGACACTTCAAAATGACGAAAAGCATTGACCTGGAAAAGCTCAAACCAGCAAATACACAGTGGAGCTCAATATGTCTGACAACTTCTGCATGAAAGGACAAGTGTTTCCATCCATTTTCCCAGCATGACCTCATACCGGAAGGACGACCACATTGCATTTCTCAAGAAATGAATGAAGGACGCACAATAAAGACACCAAAGAGAAAGTTATAAAGCAAAAACAGTGGAACAGAGTATTTTTTACAAGAGTTAACTCCCCTGTGCTAACTCTTGTGTTTGGATATTTAGGGGTACAATAGCATTTAACAATGTGGTTGAAAATAGAGCTAGTAAAGCTGAAAAATCTAAAATATTTTAATCAGTAGCTCTCTTGTATATATTCAAATTACCTTAAGTGACTCTCTCTGCTTTGCACAGAGTGCGGGCTACAAGCTTCAGTATGGGACACTCGTTTGTGAAGAGATGTTTTCTCTAATTTCCCATGAGGGTTGTGTTGCATAATGTAAACACCAGCCTGGTAAGAGTGTGTGAGATCCATTTATATATAGCCTTGTTTGTATTAGGTTCTTGTCTTTGGATGAATATTAAAACACTGCATGTTTAAAGTTTTGCATGGTGCACATAAGTTGAAGGGACATAAATGCTTTTGCAAGGAACTTGATAAAATAAGAACAGGATTAGCTTACTTCTTTTTATGGCAAATTATCAAATTATTAAGTGTCAGTTTTCTTGGCATTCACATTTTTTAAAATCTCCATTTAGACAACTTGGCCCTTCTGCTTCTCTTTTGAAAGATGCTTGAGTTATCACTAGAACAACTACCCTGGAAAATCCTTTACTAACAACATTAGACAGAATTACCGTAACAATGAGCAGGATTCCCTTCAGGAGGGTGAGCAACGAGGTGATGGGCTGAATGACTGTGTGGCCAAGTAAGATGGCAAGGGACAGAATCCAGGTGAAGGCGGGGATCATATAAAAGTGTCTGTGGAGACATGGAAACACATGGAGAAATTTTACCTGTTAGCTTTAATAAATAACACATCTGCTTTCATCAAGGGAGAAATATTTAACCTAACATGCTGTCGCCATGGAGATCCAACATCCATGGAGATGTGTTCCAAAACATCTTTGCTGAACGACTGATTTTTTTTAATTATCTTTTTTTTTTCAGAATTAATAAGTGATTCGTTTTACATCTGTTTGGAGTGATACATTTAGATGAGTGCCGAATTGTTTGAGTTGCACTTAGGCAGGTTGGTATGTTCATGCTGTTAAGTAATTCTGACATTTTGACAGAAGCTATTGGGTTACTTAAAGCTAAGAAACCCAAAAAACAATTACATTTCAACATCTGAGAAACAGCTGTTAATGTTTGGTCATATTATATGAATTATTTGATGATCTGAAATATTCAATTGCACAAATGAGCCAAAAAAAAAAACCCTACATAGGAGCAAATAGGTCCAACATGTTTCTACAAAGATTATCAAGGTGTTGATCAAGATCAATATGAAATATGAAGTAGAGTAAAAAATATTAAAAAGTAATGCAGGCAGTATTAACAAGAGCTAAATTACTAAGTTCACCATCTGTAGAGATAAGGCTGAGCTTGGTTTCATCTTAATTAAACACATGAGATTTAACTGATATTTGCGGGTTAAGGATAGTTTTCTAATCCTCTTATATTTTAGGCTCGAGGGAAAATCCTGACTTTTTGAATTCTAAAACTCACTTAAACTAAGGTTAAATCACAATGAAGTGAAAGCTGAGGTGAAATGACTCAGTTAGGCTGTAAATCCTCTGCAGCTCAAAGGGTGGTGGGTTTGTGTCCAAGGCGCCAACCACCCTGCAAAGACCATTCTGCACACAGACCTGCAGCACTCTATTGACTGCAGCAACCTGGAAGCAGAGGGAAGATGGTTTATCCAAAGGAGTCCTCCCAAGATTTCTTTCACTCCACTAACCCTGACTTCCTACTCCCACAACAAATCGCTGCATCTCCCCTGGCGCTGAGCGTGCTGATAATGAAGCACCCAAGCGTGCCAATGAAGCAGTCCGACAGTCCCGCAGAGTGTGAATAATATTATTTGGGTAAAGGATTTACTGGGGCATGACAAAATAAATTAGCCCTGTTAACTGATAAAGGTAATTATAGGCCTGGGAGGGAAAGAGGAGGTGTGAATTGAGGGGAGAGACAGCAATCACCAGAAGAGACCCAAATAATCCAACAGTGAGTTTAAACATTACAGCATTCTGGCTTTTACTCTACTTGTGTGCAGTATTCTTTCAGTTTAATCACTGTTGGCAACATTGACTACTGTGAGTAATGCATTGCAGAAAAGTTTTACAGAAAAGAAAAAAAAATGCTCAGTAATCCAAATAAGAGAGAAACCTAAACAAATACCTGATTCTGTTCTTAGTTCCATACAGAAAAAAACATCCCTGTGCTTTCACACTGCAGCACTGCATCAAACAATCCAAACCCTATGAACAACCTGCTTACCCCCTTGTCTGTGGGGGCGCTGCACCAAGAACCACTGATGGAAACACCAAAGCCTCTGAGGAAACTGAGTGCAACTTCCTTCTTCACAAAATGGAAACAAAAATAGAGTGTTCTGAGATTTTGACAATAGTAAGAGTTCTCTTGTGTCTTTGGTAAAAGACCAAAAGTAATTTCTCCCAATAACGCTGGACTCTTTGTTTTAACCCAGAATATCTATAGATCTGCTCTGTAGATCCCTTTCTGCTTTTGGAGCTCTCTTCAGTTCAAATATGCATTTTTTACCACACCAGAGTTCACTTCAACTGAACAGAGATCCAAGGTTTGTAGATGGACCAGAGTCTACGTTTTTGGTTTGATTTCACATTCACAGGTCCCTAAACAAACCAGAATTTCTGGATGAATAAACTGGAAAACGACTAACATGCACTAAACAGAGCTGGTGTGAAAACAGCCCTGATTCTAAAGTTGATGTTTTGAATCAGGAAAAATGGGGAAGCATAAGAGTTGAACTCCATCAAGGGTTGAAGATCCTTTACATCTCTTCCAAAGTTCACCTATGTCCACCAGGTAAATTTGCTGGAGGAAAATGCATTTAAATTCATGAATGCAGTTGAAAAGTAAAAGATGAAAAGCAGTTGCACCTAAAAAACCTCATCAATATGTGGAGCAGCAGGTTTCCAACAACAGATTCAAAGAAAGTAAGTCTTGACCCACCCGAATACAGGCTGACCCAGCTGGCTGCAGGATGCTGGAACATGTACAATGATTTGTTTATTTCTATCACTAAAATAAAGATGCCATATCTAATTCTATGAATGTCAAGCAGTGACATTTCTGTCAGGCAGGGTATGCATATGCAAGCTGAAGCTCAGTTTATATTCATGTATAATTCCTACAAAAGACAACTTTTAATGACCAGGTTTAATTTGTTCTGATGCCTAGTTTAGTCTTTGAGACATTTTCATGCCTGCCCATTTGACAAACATGGTTCCATTCAGACACATTTGATGTAGCCACGTGTCTTTAAACTTTGACATGAAAGCAGTTCTTTCTGTCAACATCTGAAGCAGTAGGGTCTATATGTAGCATACGACACAGTCATTTGCTTTGCCCAAATTTAGCATCTAATTTCAGCATCAAACATGTCTCTGATGGTTATCTTCAAACACTTTTTGAAGTGCCTAAGTTCCTGTTCTACAGCAACAACTCACAGAACAAACATTTACAGCAACATGACATTCAAAGTAACACCCGCTAATTAAAGTCCATTAGCACAGAGATGAAATGCAAATTTGTTTTTTCCTATCATAATAGAAAGTAAAATAAAACCTCAATGGTATAGTTTCCTCCCATCTCTAAAGTCTTCCAAAAGGTCATTTGCTGAGTTTTACAAGCAATTTCATGCAACTGCTCAGAGCATTTCTCCTTACTGGAATATCATCATCATACATAAAGGTGTGTTGTCTTTTTAGAATTCTATGAAAACTCCTGTTATTAAAATATATACTTGTATAGTTGTTTGTGAACAACTAATTTCTCCTGGTGAAGAGTTCATCAACTTTCGTTTGTCCACAGAAATGAGGAACTTCAATATGGTTCCACATTCTTCTCAATGTACAAACATCTATAATATAATATACATAATTTATAGAGAAAAAGGATTTAATAAAGCAGGCCTGACTGCTCCACCCTCAAAGTCCTAATCCCAAGCAGAAAAAGTTTTTAATTTCCACCCAATCACTGTGAGCAAAAGCACACAGTGATCAGAAAGTCCTAAAGTTTAAAAACATGTCCTTTGTAGCAGCATTGAGGAAATATTTCCCACATATGTTCACACATGCAGGCCCTAAAAGTCCATTTTAACAACAAAATTTATTTTCCCTTTCATAGAGAGAGAAAATAATGTGAAATAATTTTAGATGGATTCACATTTTTCTTTTATGACATTTTGCCACATATTTGACATTCTATAAAGGATAAAATTTAAAAAAGCAACCCTATCTATTTTTGAAGATGCTTCCCTATGTATTCTACAGCACAGTCAAGTAGCAACAACCCTCTTCAGTTGCTAATTGCTGGTCTCCCATTTGCAAACACCCCAGTCTTATTATATTAAAGGTTCTGAAATAAATGCATTCAGTTTCCAATTTAATTAATATGTATTGCACTAATTCCCAACAAATGTACTTTACTGAAAAATTATTTTAATGCAATCACACATACATTGCAATGTACGTTTGATCCTAGTCATCAAACGGTACAGTATGACCAATTAATTATTCAAAGTAGGCTGATTAATTAAAATTAAATAAAATTGAACATATGGTTTAGTTCTTTCCTGCATAAAGTTGTTCAATAACCAGCTTGGATGCAATACTTTGTACAGTATTACATATCCATAACTGATAATATTCGAGAAGTTCCAAGTTCTTTACAATTTAAAACTGACATTTTTTAAACTATCACTCAAACAAATAGAAGAAAAAGATCAGACAATAGGTTAATGGTAGGAATTAAAGATGAAATATCTTCATATCACTGAGACATAGCTAAACATTACCAAAGAATCGATATCTTATATTATCTCCCATCTTGCTTGCATGATATATTTATCCAAAGTAGCCTGAGAGCAGGACAATAGATGAAGTGCCTTCTGACATTTAAAGTCTTAAAGGTCCACTTTTATGCAAAATTCAGTTTTTGTATATTTCTATCCTTCCATATTGGTGTCTCCTGCTTCTAGAAATAGTCCAAGAGCAAAAAAAGAAAACCAGCAAAGATATGTTTTTTGGGAATAAGTAAATGCTCTGCTGGTGTCCGAGTTCTTGAATTACAATTTTTTTACCTGGCAAGCCCAAGCCAAGCCCAATCCCACACCTGGCACGCTTGTTCCAAGTTTGTTCTGCTGGTTTTACAATGTACAATGGCTGCTGGAAAATGAAAATATTTTGCTGTCGGCTGCCATGCATCCCATGTGACATTACATTTTCCTCTAGTCACATAGAACAGAGCTACACAGCTTCATCTCATTTTTGCAAGTCATCTCCCTGCAAAGTTGCCAAAGGAAGTTTAGGAATGTTTCACAACTATTCTATATTTTCCTAATCAATTTTCCTAATGCAGTCCTGATTCCAATAATAGATGTATTTTATTTTTCAAAATCAACTAAAAATGTTTACAGAAAAAATGTAGAGATGAACCAATAATTCGCCTTGACTTTTCCTTTGTTTTGGGAGATATTGAACATATGGTTTAGATATTGAACATATAATCAGCTGATGCATGAGAAATCAATCTTATCTCCTGATCTTCTCTACCGCTGATAAGATCTGAAAATCAGCCACTGTTCCCTTTTGTTCTGCAAAAGAGAAAGCAGACTGACCGACCCACCCTCCGAGTCATGTCTTCACATGGGAAGTTAACTATAGTCACCACACTGCTGCCGACCTAGCGGTTTTGTTGCTATGCTAAGCAACTTTTCAGACAGCAAAAACATAAACAAAGAAATAGTACTGACCAAAATCTGAAGGAGAGGGTCAGGGTATTTTTAATATCAGCGATCGGCCAGAAAACTGCAGTCGATGCACCACTAATAAGATGTACATTTCTTTGTAATTGAAAACCTCCAGTGAACCATAGAACTCTAACTGTTTTTACAACTGCATGGCTGCTTATGCGTACAGTGAAGGAGAGCAGAGAATCTCAAAGTACATGCGCTGCTTAAACTGATTATCTAACACTAAAATTGAAAAAGAAATTATATTAGAAATTTAATAGGATGCTGATTAAATGACTCCAGTTTGGTTTTGGGTTTCATAAAATGCAACTTAAGTCCAGCCAGTACATATTATTCACATCATTCTTAAATTCAACTCACCTGATACCAAGAAGAGCAGCAAAAGCCTCACTGCCAGCCAACACATAGCTAATTCCAATTGATACACTGTAAGTAAAAACAAAACAACAATCAAGACATATTGAAAGAAAATAGATAAATATATAGGAAAATGATCAGGTATCAAAGCTTTTAGAGAAGGACTCCTTCATTGAACAAAACAGATTTTGCATGATGAAAGTGCCTGAAAGATATGAAGCGATACAAGACTTAGTTTTAAAATCACGTCCTGTTTGTAAAGCAGTGCTTTTATACTACACAACTGTTCCAGTTTAGTTTTTCAAAACAAAGGATGCCTTTGGGATCAGTGTGGGGATCTTCTCTTCATGTGCTCCTCAAACATCACTCTGAGAAACAGCATTTCCAAAACAATGTGCAAGTCTTCATAAAGAGGATCGGCATGAGAAATATCAGTGGAATGCTTTTACAGTTGGTTTCAAGACAGGTTTCAACAATTGTTCCCTCCTTACACATTAAAGCTCCTGTAATCTCTTAACAGTTGGTCACTAAGACTGCAAATCTATTGCTGCTTTCTCCACACATTTAAGGGCTGAAGTACACCCAGGCTTTTGATTCTGCTCACTTTCAAACCGTTCAAAGGAAATACTAAACAGACGTAGGAAGAGTTGTTTTCAATCAAAGAAGAAGTTATTGCAAAAGTTTGAATTCATTACTAATTTGAACTAAGTTGTACTTTGTCAAAATAATTAATACAGGAAAAAGGAAAGAAAATGTGTATGCCTAATAATTTTTCATTGTAGCATTTCCTCATTAATAGGTGCCACAGTTATAAAGAAAATTCTTCTATGGGCTGAGCAGCAGAGTTGTGTGTGGGAGTTGTGCCCAGTAAAAACCTGCTAAATCGTCTCTGTCAATGCCAAACAGCTTAATCTGCTAAATACTCTTGTTTCGTATGATTTACTAAATTGGATTTAAGAAGTTTTATAAAACAAGACATACTGCCAATTTAATTATTTGTCTAATACAATAGTGTGTGTAAGAACTGTAGGGATTAGCACCGACATCCCAGATGACAGAGTTCTGTCCCAACAGTCTGCGATGTGGGACGATTGCTGGTCTCATCTTATTACTATCAACCTATCAGAGCACTCTGGAACATTAACACTCTAGTCTACTCTACTTTCCACTCTTCCAGAAAACTGCTTAATAGCTGAAACACTGAAATTCCTCAAATCAAGGTTAAAAACACACCTATGTTTCAGCTGTTTTGCAGTTTTCTGCAAGTTTGATACAAATTGGTGGTGCTTAGAAGCTGAATGCTGCCACATTTGGTTCTGGTCGTGTAAATAAAAAAGAATCAAAAAATATTCAGACAGTCTTGTATCAGAAACCTGTTGATGGATACACAAAACAATGTGCCTTCAAATTGTAATGCTTTATTGGAAGTTCAAACAAATATGAATGAAACTGTATGTTTTATTGGCCATGTGAGAATACCAATCCATATATATGTACTTTTATAGATGTAAATACAAATAATATTTTATGTAGGAAGATTTCACTTGAGAGGAACAGTTGAAGTCCCAAAAAAACAAGAATAACACTTGTCTGACATTTTTTCCGACACACATGGGCCTTAAAATGTCCTTCAGTGAGCCGTTCCAATTTGCAGCCTAATCGGATGTCACAGCTGGATCCGAGGGGAATTATCTGGCCTCCCAATCTTCATCTCCACCCACAGGTTGACATTGTGCCTTATTCACTGTGTCTCAGAGTAACTTCATGTTTGACCTCTACTTGTTCAGTCTACAAAATGGAGCGAAGTCCCTGCTTGGGCAGTAACTAGAGTACTGCACATTTAATCACATTTTTCAGTCAAGTAGAGATAAAGTATATGTTTACATTTTAATCAGTTGGCTTTACCACACAGCCTCAAGTTAATTATAACGACACCAGCCCTTGAATTTATAGACCCCCAGCATAAAATAAAATATGACATAGCCTTTTTGATAATGGGAAAGTTTTATATTTAACCTACTGTCACACTATTTATCTTGTCATGTATGCTGACGTAATAAAAAAAATAAATGTTAGGTGGTTTTAAAAATGAGGAAATGAAGGGGACTGTGGGAATGGACATGTGAATCATACCCATCAACGTACAGGACATTGGGACCAAGTGATTTTGTCTTTCCATGCAATATTCACAATCACCTCTGCGGGTTCTTTCATATTAGGTCATGTATATATATTAAATTAATCTAGTTTTGAGTTTTAATCTAGTTGCCTCTTGATACTGAAATTTTGTTTTCACAACTAAGAAATATTACAAATCGAGACACTAAAGTTTTAGGTACACATCTATCACTAATCCAAAGATATTACATGAAAACAGGCACTCGTTACTAATTATGTAAATTTTCATTCTTTGTTCAGAAACAAAATGCTATGGTATTATGAACACATGAAGCTTATGAGCCCCTGTCATTGTGTATAGCTGTGCCAACAGACCAAGGCACGGTAAGGGCAAAGGATGCAGGTCATGTTCTGGGTGGCGTTTGTGCATTACTGCGTTTGAGCCTCTGCATTGATCGACCACTAAGCCCCCTTGAAGGAAGTATTGATTAGCCAGGTGTTTCAAAGCCGCTCACACCCCGATAACAGAACTTTCCACCCGTGTTGTTAAAAGCCTTGCGCCCTTCCTCTACGGACTTACACTCTCCTGCAAACAAACAGGTCAATGCTGCAACCATTGACTTTGAATAATACAAGATGTACAGCTTTTTAAAAAAAAAAAAAAAAAAACAAAGTTACAATCTGGATTCAATAAGTAAATGGCTATAGCCTCATGCTAATTTAGTTTTTTAAAGTAAGGTTGTCTTTTCTGGATGTCACACTGAACTCAAGGTCAAACAGATCTGAAAACAGGGGGATCACTTTAAAAAATTACAGAGCCTCAGGAGTTGCTGTAATAAATCATATTTTATCAGTGTTTGGCTCAGTTTCGCTTGTAACTCACTATTTCAGCTCTGTGCAGTAGAAGGCCAGGCAGTAAAGCCCTAACCTCAAGGACGGTTTTTACACAAGTCCGTCCTAGCTCTGTTAACAATCTGCAACAGTGGAGATTAAATGACTTGGCAAGTTTCATTCCAACTGTAATGCAGTGAACATTTTAGTAGATCGCAAAGTATTCAAAAGCAAAAATAGCCTGTAGGAAATGCTTCTGTATGATAAGGTAATTTAATTTGCAGGGGAGACCAGGGTGTACAGATAAGCCTGTGATATTGTTCTTAGGTTAATGTTGACGAAAAGAGGTTGTGAAAAGTGATTTTCAGGGAACAAAAGAAAAAGTTTCAAATCATGAGGAAGCAAAGGAATACAGAAAAAAGAAGTTCAACGAGAAAGGAAAAGGCTGCAGTGTATGTATTAAAATAGCCTGGCAACGGAAAAAAGAAAGAAAACCACCTGGGACATTTGCTAAAGTAAAAAAGAAATACCTAACCTGTTGTCATTATGTCTTTATTTCAAGAGAATTTCTTTCACTTTTTACCAACCACCAGATCAGCAGAGCTGACGGGAGCCATTACTTGTCTAAAGATTTCTCCGGAATGTGTGCGTTTTCCCCCTCAGGTCACTATTTGTAAGAGTATGTTTTATATTTATATGTTTTAAGATCTTCAAGCTATTTTGTTTTTAATTGCTAAAGAGTTATAAAAATGGAAAATCTGTGAGAAAACACTGTTACAGTGCAAGAACTCACACACGTCCCATAACACAGTTTTCACAACCTCTTGTTAAAAATACATGTACATTTCATTATCTTAAATCCTTATATGTTTTTGGAATGTTCCATTTTATGTAAAAACAAAGCAAACAAAAAAAACATCAAAACATACATATGAAAGTCAACAATCTCTCCGTTCAGTTGTTAGTGGGAGCAGCTCTGGGAGCAATTAAAGCTTTTAGTCATCTTAGCTTTAACTCAAAGTTGTGCAGGTTAGATTCGGGTGGTTTATTCTGCATCTGTCATCAGTTACACCAGAAATACACATGTATATTCTCACCTCCTAAAAAGATTTGGATGCTTCCATTCAACTATCCACTGCTTTGTTGCCCTATTGCATGAATTAGAATAAAATGTGGAATGAGTCATTTCTAAGTGTCAAAATGTAAAACAGATTCAAAATTGTTGTAAAACACTTTGCATCCCAAAGAAAACAGAAAACAGATCAACAAACTCAACTACCTGCTTCTTTCCCATACACAGCGTTATTCCACTTTTATTATGGAAACAATTCAACTTCATGATATGGAAATATCATTGCCATGGTAACTTACAATTGGAAGAGGAGAATGCAGTTGAAAGCATGGCTCATGGGCCGGGAGAGGAAGAGGTAGCCAAGCAGATGAAGGTTGGGTTGCAGGTCCTCAGCTTGGTCACACAGAGCTGGCGAGATGGACTGTAGTAAACCAGTATCTGTAAGATACAATTGGCTCCATGAGGACAGAGACAAACTGTAACAATACATGTCAATGTGGTTCTGAATGTTATGCAGCTGAAAGTGTCACACATTCTTCTGATCAACATGTCAGTGACTTCTTTTGGTTTAAGTTCTTGTGGTCAGTTAAGGTCAGAGTTATTAGTCCCCTATTAAAATCACACAAAACTCAACATTTTCATGAAAATTACCATAATGAATACTGTTCAACAGCATACATACAAACATACATATTTCCAGTTTTTTTTATTTTTTTTATTTGTAGGTGTAATTTATATTTAAGTGCGGTTTGGAAAGTAGAGTACTCTTTTTGTTATTTGATAACTTTTCACTACAGAGCAAACATTCAGGTAATCCTTCCGCATTAGCAATGAATACAAATGATTTGGTCCAACTATTGTAGAATCTCTCTTCAGCTATTTTGCTCTTTTCAACTTTGTTATCCATGGCCCACTACAAACCCATTGGTTTGTTTACAACAGCCACCTTCTATGCACCCCGCAAGAAATGCGTCTGGCTATGATGCAAATCTTCGTTGACAGAAATGTTCAAATTTAATATTTATTCTACACATTTTTATAACATTGGAAAATGTTAAGAAAGATTGTCATGTTTGTCCCACTACAGAAACCGTATTAAAACAAAAAATATATATTTCCCACCTCCATCTTTTTCTAATTTCAAACACAGGTTGTTAAATTTAACATTTAAAATGTTCTTGCATTCTTAAAGGAAAAAAGTTCACATTTTGTGGCTCTCTACTTCACTTTAAACTTGACAGTTTTGGCCCCCCTGGCAAAAGTGCGGACACCACAGCTTCACATTGCCTATAGGGGTTTCTGTGCAGTTATGCAGTAATCTCTCCTTTGCCAGGTGATATGCAGGACAATATTACCTTAGCAACAAAGCAAGAATAAACAGAAAAGGCTTAAAATGATTCCAAAACACAAGTATGATAACCAACATTTCAAATTCAAACAAAAAGGGAAAATCAACACCTCGGAGAAATCACACCTTGTTCTTCCACATCAATCAACCTTGACTATTTTATTACAACCTACTAAATGAAGTAGGGAGCTCTGTCTAATCATCTTAGAGGTCTGTAGTCAGAAGACAAAAACTTAAAATGCTTTCTTTTCCCAAATTCTCTGTTAAAAATGTTAGTCTGATCCTCTGCAAACACCAAACTGTCTCACCAGCTTCTGCATTTTCAGCTTCTTCGTCCTCTTCTTCTTCTGGTGTGACTGGATTTTCTGGGCTCACTTGATCCATCACAATACACTCTGCAACACCTGTCTGAGTACAGCATAAAAACAGACATCAGAAAAATGATATAACCCTTTCCGATAGAGTCATAAACTGAAAACCAGTCACAGACAATAACAACACATACTTTTCTATTGACTCTAACTGGTCCAGGTGGGGACTGTGCTTAATTTTATTTTTGATTCAGACCATAAATTCTTTAAACTAAAGTCTTACTCTGACTGAAGGATTTCCTGCTTTTTTGTCACAAATATAAGCTCTACATTTAAGTCAACAGAAGAAAATCACTCTGGATTTAAACAAATGTTACTGAATGATAATCCACAACTTTAAATCAATTTAAAATGTTTAGCACTCTTCCACTACAAACCTCCATCCAAGAATTGTTGATGAAATGAAAAGAAAAAAAAAAGGTGACTAAAGGTGCGCTGGTAATCAGTTTTTACTCAGGTAAATGAAGTGCAGACAGTGTTTCTGCAGGTTTCAACAACCCAAATGTAAGACTTTAAGACCTTTTTAGGACCATTATGAATGTCATCTATAATACATGATGCAGCAACAGCAGCAGTTTTCTTGGGCGCTTTAGCCACACCAGCGGATCAAAACTGTCACAATTCTGTGGTCTGTGTGGCTCCAGGCAGCAGCTGTGTGTTTTTCACACTGCATATGGCTTTCTAGTCTTAAGCCCTGCAAAGTCAAGCTTTTGTTGCACAGAAAGCATCATATAGGTTGGCATAAGAAGTGAAGCAATGGTGAAAATAAACGTCGTACAACCAACTGGCAATACATTTGCACTTACGCATGGTAGACTCAAAAAGACAGTTAGCAATAGCAATGGCATATTAGGAGCTTGCTAAGCTCGAAGGTGTCTGTGCATGGCTAATGCTTTTGCCAGACAACTAAAAAGACAAAAACTAAATGATTAAATAGTCCTATTTATTTATTAAATAGAACTGTTTAATGATTAAACATTCCTGCCACAAAAATTATTTAAGATCTGCGAATAACATATTTAAGGCCTAATTATATTTTTTTAAAATTTAATTTAAGACAAGTTGTGACTTTAAGTTTAGCTACATGAACTTAAGACTTTTTTAAGGATGTGTGGGTACCACGGGAAACACGGAGTAGTAAAATTGGCTCCTGAAAACCACCTTGGTTCCTGGAAAAGGTTCCTGCAGTCAACATGCATCACTAAGAAGGTCACACACAAACTGTAAGCAAAAGAAGGAACAGAGCCTGGTTTGTTCTCCTGACCTTTAGAGAGTCCAGCTGAACCACTTGACATTTTTGGAGAAGTTCCACAAACAGATAAATGAGCAAGGCCTACAAAGCAAAAGATACGTCAATTCATAATGCATCAATAACACATAATAGATAAACAGACAGAAAGATGTTTGCATTAACATTTAAATACCCCTTGCTTACCTGAACAAAGAAGCCAACCAGAAAGGAGACCAGGAAGGGCACCAGGCCAGCATGTGCTATAGTGACTGGAAGACCTGAAAATGAAAATAATGTTGAACTGCCACTGAATTTGATTCCCACCCAGGTAAAAGTGAAAACGTGCTAGACGGTGTCTGTCGCGCGTTTTGTCAGTGTGTCTCAGAAACGTCTCTCTGCGCTGGCTCCAGATTTCTAGAAAATAGAATTGACAATGCTAATTTCCATATGAGATTTAAGTGGCTGAGCAATCATTAACTAGGAAGGGTCAGACCTCTGTGCAACTACACAAAAACTCTGCTCAAAACAAAGCAGTTAAATGTAATGTCCCATGTAATTTTCACCTCTACAAAAATCTCTCTGGGGTTGGCCACACTTCATAAAACACATTTAAATGTTCCTCTGCCTGAAAATGGAAAGAGTTTTAATTATATTCCAAGTGAAGTTATATTTCGGAAAAGACATGTAGGAGAAAGAGCAAACAGTCGCCACTGAACCTTTATCTTCAAACTGTCGTCTTTTCCAAAGCTACTACAAAATTAGGACATTAAGATTTTTAAACCTAAGATACCAGGTTTGAAGTTTCGGGTTGTCTACATTGTTTTACTAATGGTTTAAGGTGTGTCTGATTTTTGTGACTTAAAATTAGTTAAAAGTTACAAAAGCTACCAGAAAAAAATAAAATAAAATCATGGCTGACTTTAAAATTTGTTTCTTTTTAAATATTTGCTAATTAGAAAAACTATTTTAGTGAGTGTCATTTGTAAGAATGGCATCACATTCCTGCCAAAAACCCTGATGCAGAAATTACAGCAGCATATTTATTAACTAAGTCAGTGCAGAGCTCGAATAGTACGAATTTCCACTTATTCATGGGCCCATGAACGCAGCATGGGCTATTTCTAAAGTACTTTAGATTGCAAAAATCTAAAAACACAAAAACAAAAAGCAACTAAGATCATTTTAAATAATTCAGAGACAAATAAAACAATGTATAGAAAAATTTACCTGACTTATAAAAACCTGACTTATAAAAACTGATGGTGTCTCTCACAGACATGAAAAGTTCCTGACAGACATGGGATGATACTATTTTTTATGGTTTTTGCATCCAAAGTATATTATTGCATTGATTGAAGGCTACCTAGTTTTTACTTAGGGAGTTCTTTCTCTGTGACTATTTCGTAAAAGCATAACTAGGCATGTTTTTATTTCTGTTTTTCTTTATCTAAAGCTTTGAGTGCTCATAATAAAATAAAACTCCTTGGAATGCTAGCCTGAATATTAAATAATATTTCAGTTTAACCGTTGAGGAACGCTATCAGCAAGGGCTTATGTGATGAGAGTCAATGTGATGAGGGGAAGATCAGAATGTTTATAAATTCATAAAATAGTTTCAAAACGTACCCAAGATTCCAGTTCCTAATATTGTTGCAATGGTCAGGAAGTCTGGAAAGACAAGTGTTGAAAAATATTAACATTAAGGCAATGACAGTTTTACCCTTTCTCTCTTTATGCAGCTTAGTTATATTTGGATTTTTCTAAAGACAAAAGAAAGAAGCTACATAAAAAACAAATAAAAAATCCATCTGACCGTTCAAAGAAAAAAAAATCTAAAGAGATACAAGTTCATTTATACATGCATACATACGCGCACACACGCCTGCACACACATACACACACACATTTACTACATAACAGACCCCGCCCTGTTCATGTTCAGCATATTTTTCTGTGGAACATAATTCCAAATTATTCACAGAAAATCTGCATGTCCAAGGGTATTTTGTGCATAGCTAAAATACTCTAAACTAAAGAAAACACAACTTGGGAAGCTAAACTACTTTGTTGCAAGGACACTTGCACCAAATTTACTGGCTCCTGCAATGCAGCTAATTTCCTTTATTTTCCTTGCCACTCATTGACTGTATCTTCAAGAGTAGAAATAACAAATATTGTAGATATTAGCTTCTGTGGTACACCTTGGACAATTTCCACTGTGTACATCAATACATTTTAAAGTATATTTGGTGTGTGACCCATAAAAATGAGCATTCAATCATTTTTCCAGGAGGTCTCAAGTACTTGTTCACATTTTTAACATGTTGAGTCAAATCAAAATCTACAGAGCACACCAGGGACTATGAAATAAATCTAACATTAAAAACATGGTTTAGTTATGGTAGAGAATACCAAAGAATAACTAGACACAAGAAATAAACATAATAAACTAGAATCATAAAGAAAATACTTAGTCTTTTCTTTCATTAGCTCAGTCTTGTGTCTGTTTTTCTTTAGCTAAGGAACACAGAATATTGAAACTAGAATAAGGAACACAGAATATTGAAACTAGAATCAAATCCCAAAACAACCCAGAGCAGGTTAGGACCTGACAATATTCACAAAAACAGTGTAAAAACTCTTCAAATAAAAGAATTTACATTATTTTCTACATGTCAATTTATTTATAAAGTACTTTAAAAAAAGCTATTATCTGCACTATTTGCCAACTTTTAGTGGACAATCTGAAGTGCTAATAGCTTAACTTTGTTTTGGATTTCCAGTTTACTCCACACCTCTCCAGTTCCTGATAAAAATCACAAAAGTATTGGCAAATATACTATAAGCAACTTCAATGCTGAACCAAAAGTGAATTACACAAAATTTATAATCTGCTATATTTGCAAAATGGAAATTGAGCATCTGAATACAGAGTTCTGTGGTGTGTCGTGTGATTGGTCAGATATTTGTGAGCGTGTTTTATGCAGCAATGTTGATATTTTTGCTTCAACTAGCCAGCTTCAACTGTCAGGTTTTTGTATCTGCAGGCGACTTGAATACTTGAATAACTGCCACAGTAAAAAATGATGCCTGTTAACTTCAAAAACTCCTGCTAAAAATTCCTGAATGGAAATTGCAAAGCTGTTGTCCATGGAAAAAAAAGTGTGGCGCTTTCTCTGTGACTGTTTGGTAAAAACATAAGAATGGAGGGAGTAATTCTATACTTGAAATTTAATAAATGTGAAAAATACACCTTAATGTCACCATTTGAAATGCTGCTTTGCCTGGACTTGGTTATCAAATGTGAAGACACTGTTCCAATAATCAATGTGACTAAAGATAAACGCATGAATGAGTTTCTCCAGATCTGGCTGAGACATTTGTTCTGTAATCCTGGAGATGTTCTTCAGGTGATAGAAGGCCGACTTTGTAACTAAAGGTTCAGGTCAGAGTCCATCACTACTCCCAGGTTTCAGTCTTGATCACTAGTTATTAGTTGTAATAACTGAAGCTGTGCATTGACTCTCGATCGTTCCTCTCTAGATCCAAAAATAATAACTTCAGTTTTGTTTCTGTTCAGCTGAAGAATAGAACTCATTGTGTATGAGATAAAAAAATGTATGCATGTCGGACATTTTAATAGGATATATGTACAATATTAATGTGTGTGAGTCTTTAGCAGTGTGTGAGACGAAACAATTTTTTTCTCCTAAATGGTCCCTTAGAACCAGGTAGTTATTCGGATTGCCACCTTGATAAATTGCACAGGAAAGTCACAAGTTCTATGTTATTACAGTGATCCTTTTTTTGGGATACCAAAAGTTTAAACTTGTTGTGCAGCCTTCAAAGTGAACAGAAGGAAGACACACACACTTTACATCAGGGGTCTCAAACACCAGTCCTCGAGGACCGATGCCCTGCAGCTTTTAGATGTGTCTCTGCTGCACCACCTGAATAGAATAATTAGGTCATTAAGGCTCTGGAGAACTGATCTACACAAGGAGGAGGTAACTAAGACATTTCATTCCAGTGTTTTGTACCTGTGGCACATCTAAAAACTGCAGGACAGCAGCCCTGGAGAACTGGAGTTTGACACGTGTGCTTTACATGTTTCTATCTTCACAAGGAATTTGCATTGATGTCCATTCATTTCTACAACCTAACTCTGATCCTACTCCAAACCACTATCAGTACCTGACTAGTTCAATTCACACCCTATAGCAGAATAAATGTCTTCTTTTAAATCAGCTAGATTTTTTTAAATATTAAAATAAGTCAGTAAAATTAAACAGATGTGGAAAACTATTTTAAATACAATATAATAAAAACAATGAATAAAAAATAAATCAATAAAAAAAACCACAAATAAGTAAAAGCACTTTTTAAAAAGTAAATACAAAAATTAAAATGACAAAATAACTAAAAATAAACAAGTAAAAGTGGAAAAGCACAAGCATGATTAAAGGAGGTAAATACATTTGGCAGCCTCAACCAAAATAACATCCTGGTTATTCTGGTTGGATATTTGTTTCTCAGGTATCCAGCTGAGAAACAGAGTTTGTATGTTTATGACGAGATGGTGGTCACCCACAAAATCTGAGCATTTTTAGTTCCAGTTTATAAACTGCTAAAATCAGATCCAATGGGACAGGGGTTCCTCTGGCTGGGTCTTAGGCTTTCTTCACTTTCCTATAAACTCCCCTGTTATGTCTTGTGTTGTCTGTCTACTATGGGAAATTCCACAAAGCCTCACTTAAAAAAATCCTAAATATCCGTTTATGAGAATTAAACATAAATAAAAGAGAATGTTTAGCAGAAAACACAGAGGTTGAAATCTTGCGCGGAAAAAATATTCCCTGTGTCCTTCATTCCGCCCTGACACTGTGTGAAGACCAACAATTTTTGATCAGTCTTAAAAGAAGAAGAAATCGAGTCCATATCACTTGTTTTGGTTGACATCTTTTTAAGGCAGGTATAGCGATGTAACTGATTACCAACTTAAGCAAACGTTAGAGCTAAATGTGCCGCACATAAATGATTAAAGTCATTTGTAGCAGACATGCTAGCATGTTTGCACGTCAGTAGCATGTTTGTTGAATTATGGTTCAATAAATATGTTGAAATAATTGACCTAAATGGGATTTTCTTGAGGAAACTGCGGTGTTTCCATCCAACACCGCAAACAGCTCACTGCAGTCTCCCTGCTAACTCTCCTCCCCTCGCCCTGGCTCCCCTTTTCTCCACTCTTAGCGCCACTATTTATTGGAGGGTTTGCTTTTGCTAAACTGGGATATGACTTGTGTCAGTCATGATAATGTGACAAAGCAAACGGTGGACATTAATGACAGGCAGCGCGTTTGTCATTTATTTTTCAGACATTCAGAGACTGCTCGCTGTCTCCCATAATGTGTGTCGGTACTCACAGCACTGCAGATAAATGCACCGCAACCTCCAGCGTCTGTCCTGGTTTTTCCGCGTTATTTTGATGGACAGAGGGCTGAGGCTGTAGTCGGGGTTGGGACAGGGGTTTGTGTGAGCTCTTATCTCTCCCGCTTCGGTCGCCATCATTTTCACTTCTCCTGCTTCCTCTCTCCTCTTCCCTCCCCGCCCCTCCCCTCCCCGCCACCCTCACTCAAGAGAGTGAGCGCGAGCGACCTCCCGGCTGCGCGTGCCTAGCAGGATTCGTTTCAAAGCAAAAATGTAAACTGACTGTGTCGACTGTGTGACTCAGTTGAAATGTTATGTTTTGTTTGTTTGTTTCATGTAAAATGCCTCGAGGCTGCATTTGTTATCAATTGGCGGTATAAAAATTTAATTGAAATATAACTAACATTAAACGTAGTGCAGTAAAATACTCATCTGTACTTTGGAGACGTTGGTTTGATAGCCTCCTGAATGGTTAGGAGCCTTTTTTATTGTACTTTTTTATTATTTTATCATATTTGTTTTCTTTTTTATGTGATGTGGTCTTTGAGTCTGTAATAAAATCTATCTCTACAGACTAGTGCAGATTAGAATAGAGCGAAACTCAGTTTATTCTAGCAATGACATGAAAGATATTCTGACAGGAAGCAAAAAGACTTGTTCATACCTTGCCGTAGCTCAGCAGGTGAAAACATGTGTATGAAAATGTTTTGAACCAAAAGCTGATTTTCAGCCAACATACAAAAATACTACATCATTCTGAATCCATCATTGCTAATGTAAACGCTGGCGTTTCTTCTGCAGGAACAATGAAGGTCATGGAAGGATAGATGAAGTTAACTGCATGACCAGTCCTTTGAAAATGAATGTTCAAATTACCTGAGACCGGAGGTTCACTTTTAGAACTGTCTCTGATCATTTTAAAGGCTCAATCAAACGTCCAAATGACAGTGACAAGACTTGAAGATTGACTCCCATATCCAATTTAACGAGGCTTGAGTTATTTTACAAAGGAAAAAAAGGCAACAATACCCAGACAAAATGTTTTTTACAAACTAGAAGCATTTTGTTATGTTTTCTCACACAGTAAAGTAGATGGTGGTGAAGTGACAAAATGTGAGAAAATTCAGCTGCCCTGAAGTTTTTCATTTTAGTTTTTGACACTGGAGATTCTCATGTAAGGAAAATATCCAGAACATAATTGACTTACAGTAGGGTCAGGCAAGTTTCAGCAACAGGACAAGTAAAAAATAAATAAATAAAACTCTTTTCACATGCCAGTAAGGACTAAGCAAGTTCAATGAACAGCTAAACTCTCATGGATTATGAGGTCAGGCTTGTCCCTGTGACGAAATGAGACAATCTCAAACTGAGCAGGTGTCTAAATGGGGAGCAACGCAGGACAATGAGTCTTCAGCAGGAGAGAGGCAGAGTCAGCAGCATGAATCAACTGAAATCAGGGGTGCTGTCATGATTTCCAAACAATTATGCTTTTTCATTGCAGGTTTTTTTGTATTTTTCTTCAATTAAAGGTGATTATGAAATAAATTACTTTTTTGTGGTTAATTTGTGTTTTAATGACTTGTCTTAAAACACAAATTAACACACAGTCTTGAACAGTATATTATTCTTTGAATATATTCTTTATTACCTCACCAGGCATAAAGTTGTTTATCACATAAAACTTCAATTGAGTCAAACACACAAAATGCTACACACACTCCACCAAACCAGAGAATGCTAGTGTTGTCTTCTCATGCATTAAAACCAGTCAATCACAAATTTTCAGATAAATACCAACTTCTACCTCCAGTGGGAACTATTTGACTTAATTCTAATTTCGCACAGATTCAGACTTCTGGCGGCATGTCCTTAATGGGCACCTGTATATAAAAGAGGTGACACCGAAGTGGAGTTGAAATGTACAGGTGGAGTTGAAATGAGAATCCGACAGTTTGGCATTACAGAGAGAGAAGGGGAGCACAATTCAATTCAATTTATTCTGTTTGTTTATAAAGCACCAATTCACATTTGTCACCTTAAAGCACTTTACTAAAAATAAATAAATTCAGTCTAATCCTACAGACAGAATCCAACTCAAGAATTTTTATTCAGTCACTCTCCTCCTTCTGCCCTCCCTCATGATGCTCAATGCAGACACATCTTGGACGTACACCCACAAAGCAAGCACTGGCCTTAGTAGAGCTGCTAAAATTCAACCAATTCGGTTAACAAGGAAAACAAACATTTTGTGATTCTTTTAGTCTCCAACTTCTTAACAATTTAGATTTTGACTTTTTTCTTTTCCTTAAAGAGTACAATGCAGATTAATTAACTTGAGTCCAACAGATTTAGCCAGACAGGCTAGCCAGACAGGTTTAGATTTAGCCAGAGAGGCTAATATTCATCTGTAGTCCCCTGGAAGGTTGATGGAAAAGATTTAAAATAGCATGCATCACAACACAGAGGACCTGATTTATTGAAGATTTTAAAGTATAATAGTACAATTTAAAGTAAACATTTATAATAAAAATATGAAAAAAAAGTTTAAAAAGCAAAGAAATTTTAAAAAGGTGTAAACCTTTTTAAAAACAGTGTTACAATTTAGATTATCCAGTAACCATTGCTTAAGTGAATTCCTAAAACAGGGAACAGTGAATGCCTGGTTGAGGCAGTTTTCCACACAGTCCTCACAACACCATAAGGATGCCTTGGCATTTTAAACTGCAACCTGGACACACTGTTGAACACCAAGATCAGTGCACAAAAAAAGATGTTTTGTATTTTGCGTGGACCAAAAATAATTCTTTGAAGGGACTTACATGAATCTTTAGGACAGGGGTGTGAAACTCCAGTCCTCGAACGCCACTGTCCTGCAGTTTTTAGATGTGCCACAGGTACAAAACGCTGCAATGAAATGGCTTAATTTCCTTCTTGTGTAGGTCAGAGCTCCAGAGTTATTGACCTGATTTTAGTATTATGGGTGTTATTGCTGCGTGTGTGCATTGCTGGGGGTCCAGCAGTTCTCCTTGATGTCTCAGCTTCCAACCCAACCCCTTCACCATGATGCTCTATGGTACAAAGCCTGGTAGAAGGATGCACATCCATATTTCTTACCCAGATTGGTTGGATTTAGAAGACGTCCTGGCATTAGCTACTTTTACCATCATCACAAAAATGTTTGGGTTTTTATGTACGGCTGCATTTTGCTGTTCTGTTTGACAGCAACATAATGTCTCCTTGGTCTGTTAGGATGAGATAAATATGAAATAATTTTTCTGTGGCTGATGCTTAACTTGTCTCTATCCACTTCACAGAAATAAGCTCTTTCCAGAACTGAATCTTGTGATGCACTGAAACTATACAGCATATTGTAAAATAATGGGACCATAAGTCCGTCATTCCAGGGGATGAAATGTGAGCAATTATCCAAGTCGAGTTGTCCAGAAGGCTGAATCAAGGTGTTTCCCTGAGGAGTTAGCCGTGTTCTGCAGTAAACATCATTGTTTAAGTCTGGAGTGAGCAGTTTGTGTTGAACTGGTCTGATTCTCTGCTGTGGAGTTTTCTCAGGGTTACCTCTGGCCTTTTTGTCCCTGCTCTACAGCCACTGTACTTATAGTGGTGTCACAATGGGTTTTTATCTTTACTGGTGCTACATGTATATTAAAAATTATTTATTTTCCATACACTGCTGCCAGCCAAGACTCATCTTCAGTTTGTCTCCACTCCATGTAAAAATCTTTTCTGTTTCTCACACCAAGCAGACTGAGATCCTTTCACAGTCCACTCAGCTGCACTTCCATGAAACAACTGAGAAAATCATACAAGTTTATTGCAGGCGCACAAGATATTTAATCACAACAAATATATATTTTTTTATTTTATCAGAAGAGAATGCTTTGATACAATATTTGGTAGGATGCCATGTTTCATGTGCAATGCTAGCAAATTCTTCATGACAGAATACCTAGTTTGTTGGTTCCTAATAAAAATAGTGTGCACGTTTCAACGTGCAGGAAAAATGTGGTTTAGTAGTAAACCATATTTACTATTCACTATTGGTGTGTGTGTATGTCATTTCTGTAGCCTGCATAAGACCTTTTCTATTCACTAACATTCTGAAATCCAATGAACTTTAGGGGGGCTCATGTGTTGGATCCATTTTTTTTACACCATAAGAGGTTAAATTTAAAGTTAAGTTGTGAATTACGTTTGGTTAAAGTTAGGTTTAGGAATATACTAGTAATGTGTAGGACCAGGGCTAGATATAAAAGCAGTCATTAAAATTAATGGAAGTAAAAACAAACTCTTAATATGGTTGGACATAAAGATTTTTGTGTTTGTGCATGTCTGTGTGTAGTGTGGCATATATGATACCAACAGTAAAACAGACTTGGGATTAAACATACGTTTATTGTAAAACATTGTTAAATTACTTCAAGGGTGAAAATATATATAAAAAAACCTAAACATGCCAACAACACTGATGTCATACATTAAAACCCAGAAAAAAACAAAGTTAAACATCTGGAAGTAACGCTCTGATTTGGATGAATTTTGAGCACATGCAGTCCAATAATGATTGGATTTCCGAAGATCTGGCATGTTTTGAAGGGCAACACAAACGTGACATCGTCAAAAAGTGACATCTCAAGGGGAAATTACAGTGATGGTATCAGGTATTAGCCAAAGTGTCCATAAGTCAGTGGTAAGAGTGAGTCATTGTCACTTCCAACCCTTAATTCACTGCTTTGACTGACTGTCAGAAGCTCTGGCCACTGCCTGTAAAACTGAAGGTTCCATATACTCAGGTGTTCTTCACGCCATTGAGGTCCACACATACTTTTGAGGTGGACTCACTGCTGGACTCTGCTGCATAGAGGTCGATTGCTTGGCCATAAACATTGTTCACATCGAACTGTTTTGTATGCGACAACAAGGTTGTGAGTTGCTGCAACCAGTCGTAAAGACACCGCTGTCTGTGCCGCACTGACAGTCGTGTGTGGTGACGACCCCGGTGCAGAAGAAATGGGGCTAAGCGTCAACTTGTAATACTTGCTACTATCCATTCAGATTGTGGGAAATGAAGGAATTCATCATGTTTGGCAATGAAATCTAAACTCTCTGGAGAAAGTGCACAGTGTGCACAAATATGCACAGTACACTGGAGTATTTGAGAGCCTTCACTCCTCATCTTATGCCCTTTGGTACTGTTCTTAATGTGCAGCTCCTTGCAAATTCTATTATTTCAACATAGCATTTGTTTTCAAAGTTACAGTTGGTTTGTCAAATGGTACATTTTAAAAATGCTGAGACAAATTTGTACATATAGAAACAAGAACTATTTCCCCTTTACAATTTTTAATGTAAATATTTTACATCATCAGACACATTTGAATAATGTCCTAAAATATCCTGAGCAAATATAACATGCAGTTTTAAAAAAATGCTTTACAAAACAGCCTATAGAGAAAAGTGACCCCTGACCCCAACCATCTACAGTGAAGAACCATATTTTTCAGTTTCATAGCAATGACCACACCTGAACCTGATTTCTGTCAGACCTGCAGACTTATGAAATAGTTTTCCTTTAAAAAAAGCAACACATCATACTCTGGTATAAATAAATTCAAAACACTTACACCTTTATTTTTTTTTTACCTTTGCATATTTTAAGCTGCTTCTGGAGTGTTGGATTACATTAAATGCAATCAAATCTTACTGGGCTTCCTAAGGTCACTCATTTTCTCACCTTTACAGTGGCTGTACACTCTCTCCTGTACTATTTGTAACTTTCATGCTTGCCCTTTCTACTCTGTGCAGACTAATATTGTTCAACAACAGCTTCAAAAGAAAAAGAATACAGTGATCCAGGAGATCACAAAACTATCTTGAGTTCTGCAGGCCTCACTTGCCACAGGTAAGGTCAGTGTCCATGATTCAAGAAAGACTGGATCAAAGCTACATCCATTCAAGGCTAAAACCACTACAAATATTATATACCAAAACAAATATTTACCAAAAAACGTTTTGACTTTTGCTATTACATTTTTGTAAACTTAAGAGACAAAAAAGGAAGGTGTGTGACCTCTGACAAGTTGAGTAAATTTACCACAGCATTTTAGAAAACAACATCATACCAGGCATGGAGATGCAGTGATGGTCTGGGGTTGCTTTCTGCTTCGTGAACTGGACAACTTGGAGTTGATAGAACCAAGAACTTTACTTTCAGTCAGAAAATCCTGACAGAGTACATCCATTAGATCATTATTAGTAGTTGCATTTTCATTACCAATGTCTGCAAAACTGTCAATACTCCACAAATTTTATTTTACAATTATGGTATTTCCATTAAATAAGAAACAAGATTAAAATCACACATGAATAAGTTTGTTAATGCAATAAGTCATTAAAAAACATAAAGATGACCACTTTCTGTTGTCGTCTTTGAAGTTTACAGCATCCGGTTGTTCATCTGTGACTCATACAAAAATTGCTTCCATTGCAGTTTTGTAAATTAACCAGTTTCAATATCGCCAAAGAAAAACCCACCTCACTCTAGCAGCAAAACTGTTTTTTCCAAACAACCATTTTTCTATTTAACAAATTTGTCTTCAAAATATGAAATTGTGCAATTATATGGTCAATGAAAATGCAGCTACTGTTTGCTGAAGAGAATTTGGACAATGATCTGAAACACAGCAGTAAGTATACGTTGGTTTTAAGAAAACAAAATAAGTCAGTCTGCTCTTAAATCCAACTGAGACATTGTGGCATGACCTTTGACCTCCTGGTAATGCTTATTAGAAACCCTCCATTATGGCTCAATTTAAACAAAATTTTGTGAAATACAATTCTGCCACAGAGGTGTGAAAGTTGTCTAACCCAGTAACTGTGGCAGTTGTTACTATCACTGGCTCAAGCTGTTCAGGGTAATTTGTTTTCACATGAAATCTGCAAAATCCTGTTTGCAGATTTCTTCCCTGAATAAAAAACAATTTAAAAAAAATTAAATTTTAAATGTGCATTTTGTTTTCACTGACATTGTAGTTGTCTGATAAACTTGATTGAGAATCTGAAATGTTTCTAAAAGCAAAACCAAATTAAATCAAGAAGAGAGCTTTTTAGTTTTCTAAAAGCAATACCTTTTGTTGCTTTAAAAACCCAGACACGAAACATTAATGAATCTGGCACTAACTCTTCTACATCATTCAAATTCTAAACATTGTACAAAATACAGCAGTTTTCATAACTGCCTGCAATGAGGCATATTTAATATTGCTTACATATAGTTTACACAGACAGCAGGTCAAGTCAAGTATTTTTCAAGCGGCTTCACAAAGGTAGCATGTCTCTGTGGTTGTGCAATGATGCATTGAGTACTGCATGTAACCACATTTACATCAGTTGATTAGGATCATTCTTAATTTGCATTCAACTTTTTTACATTGATAAGTTTAACATAAACTGTTAAAGAACAGTGATCTGTGTTCTGATCATACGATTACAAAGCATACAAATGAACCTGATTAAACAAACTGAAACAAACAAAACATCCTGCAGCACAGAAAGCCTGTCAGTCAGCTTTCTAGATTTCATCCAAGATTGTTACAGTGTAGAGATTATGAACCAGATTATGAATTGAATATGTTCACATTTTTACCAAGTCAAATAGGAGTACAGTCACAGCAAAAAGGCAGAGTCAAAAGCCAACTGTTGAAAGTACTGTTTTTATATCTTTAATATTTATAACCCAAATTCACCATGGTCATGTGTCATGTGTGATTCACCATTAATCACACATTCTTAAATATTAACAATTAAGAATTCTTGATTTCAAATTTTCATAATTTAAATTAAGAAGATGATCTTAATCCCCAATCTTGTTGTTTTGTGACCTTAAGTCATGTCCCAAACCCTACTTTGGGTTTCTGCATTTATTAGTTAAATATAAATTTACACAACGTTTGATGCCAAATTAGTGTTTGGATGAAACTCTGCTTAAGTCTCTGAAATTATCCCATTATGATTTACTTTGTATAATTTCAAGGCTAGTGTTCAGGATCCAACTACAGCATGAACATAATCAGATTTAATGTCCTGTTTGTATTTGTGCTGCCCGAGGCTGGACTTCCAAAGCATTGTCACTCAGAATAAATCCAACCTGTGTCACAGAGTCACCTAGAAAAAAATAAAGTCATAGCAAAACAGTAAATATCAGATTTTACAAATGATTTTCCACCATGTAGAAAGAACAATAAATTTGTGCTATTATTCTAAAAAGAGAGAGAGAAAAAAATATACATTACCAAGTATCATAGCCTGATAATACACTCATGACTTTTTTTTGTCCTAATATAAATTAAAGCATGCATACCATTATGTAAAGTGATTTTGCCAACAAAGAGACATATAGACACAGTATTTTTCCTGTGTAATGATTTTCAGACTACTGACAATTCCACTCAACACAACATTTAGGACTGGCTGGTCAGATGACCAACACTTCAAAATCGTAAACACTCACTGGAACACAGCAAGAGAAACATGAGACAGACAAAATCCAGTTCACAAAGCTGCAATAGACATAAAATGCTGCCATCAAAAACAAATGGCACTCAAGCAAACAAAAACTATAACTCCAACAACCAGAAGAGTAAAAAGGTGATGCCTGGGTTTTCAGACCAACAAACCAACTAAAGACAAGTCCTTCTTCTTATAACAACAATAATTTATGTTTGTACAAAAAAGAAAAAAAAAATTCCAGTAAAGAAAACGTGTATAAGAAATTATTTGATTCAGTTACAGCAAACCAGTTTTCACTCACCTTGTTAAAGGTGGAGTTTATAGAGTATGGCAACATCTGTTGGTGAGGCTGGAATTTGCAGCTCCTGCTCTCACCACTCCAGTGCTTATTTGTCTCTCTTGCGAGAATAACGGAACAAGACAAATCAGAATTAAAAGTTGCACTTTCTTGGTACTAAAAAAAAAACACATGAATTTGTATTTCCATGCAATTTTACAAGCAAGAAGAAAAACCAGGGTTGAGAGCAAACTAAATGCAAATCACAGGTCAATGTGAAAACCTCAGACTGCCAAAGATTACAGGAATTTTTTGGGGTAAAATATTTAACAAACTCAAGAAAGCTCCTTGTTAAAGGCACAAAAGCTTTTTTTAAAATATCCCTGATAAGATTTTTTTTGTTTCATTACTGTAAATTTCTGCATTTAAAAGTTTGGTCATTACATACCAATAATCGGTCCAACTTACAAAATGTTCTTTATCAAACTTTCTTAAAAATGTATGCACATTTATTAAAAAAAGGCAATATATGCAAAGACTCATAAACCAAAATGTTTTAACACATCATAATGGCTACTGAAACACAAACAACCAGGAAATAAATCAATCAAAGAAATTCTTCCTAGAAAACCTAGAAAGCGTTTTTGTGTATTTTCCAGTTGGCTTGCTGAAACACATTCACATGAACACAATGGATTAGTGCTACAAAAACCATCATAAAATATAAGAGACTAGAACAATCATCATGCCTTGAAATTGTACTTCAAACATGTTAAAATATATATTATTCTTTTCATAGCATTAAGTTATTTTACTAAATGTTTTGCACAAAAACTAGCAAAAAGCATGCCTAACTACAACAAAACTTAAAGCCCTGTTAATTTTTTAAAAAATAAAATCTGGAAAATCCTGTTTGCAGATTTTCTCATGATCAATTAACACAAAAAAGTCACACACTGCAGTTGAGGTTAAAATAACTATACTGACAATAAATATGGATTAGCTCACAGTGATCTATGCTGAAACTAGGATGGCTTTTGTTCTTTGCATCAACAGATTGATAGATTTTTACAAAAAAAAGATTTATTTCCAACCTGAATTGTATTTTACTTCAAATGCAGAGCATCATCTATTTGGAGAGAGTCGGGATTTCCTAAAACAACTTCAGAAACAAAGTGACTTCCTGGTGTTTTATTGGTGAACAGTCTAACACACTTTAAGTGCTTGAAGGGATTTAAGTGTTAAATATATTCTGTTCATTCATCAAGGCTAAACTTTAAAGATAAATTCAAATACTCTTCCAGTTCCTTTGCTTTTAAACACTGAAATCTGGTTTTCTTTTCAACCTCACATTGATTCTGAAGTGCTACTTTCATTTTCTTTTTAAATTTAGTGCTGACATTTGTTTTGTGAAAAGAAAAGAAACTGCCACATCAAGTGGAGCAAGTGTTAAGAGGAAAATCAGGTACAGTAACATAATATTTAGAAAATAGCCATTCGCCTTTTGGTTCAAACTCATTGGAAGACAGATTAGTGCAATTTAAGCAGACCCACTTTTCCATATAATTTGCATATCAAATAGCAGGCGTGCAACAAGTCAGATTTGATACATTCATACATTTTTAAAAATCTGTTTTTGCACAATTTGGATTAAAAAAAAGTTGCTGAAACTGCAAATTTTATTCCTTCTGAACCACAAAGTGATTTTTGAGATTGGCAGAGGAGGCGCTCTTTATATCTGCATCAGAATCATTTGCTGACGCCTGGGTAATTCTGGAACAGGTCCAACCCAAAGCCCACCAGCCTCTCGGCCGAGCGCAGCGCCCTGAGGATCAGAGACAGGGACTGGTTCTTAGCGCTGTGGCAGAAGGCGTCCTTGTTTGGAGCGTAGTGCTTGGCCACCTTGCTCGTCACGCTGCAGTGCAGAACCACATCCGGGGAGAACTTGAGGATGGAGAACTGGGGAGATTTTCCTGGAAGACTGTAAAGTAAATTTCTGTAGAGACCAAGAAAAAACAAAACAAAACAAAAACAATTGATCAGATTACAAAAGAAAAACCAAAACAAAGCTTTGGATACTGCGATGAGGAGATTCTTTTGTGGTTACATTCAAACAAAGGAGTTAGAGAAGAGATTTTGTCATTTCCTTGTTTTTATTGGTGATGTTTTTTATTGATTCTACATTGTTATGAAGAATAATAAGATTAAACGAAACCAAGTGCAAAGTTATTAAAAATGAACTCAATGATAAAACTCACTGTTTTTGTCAGTTCTCTATTCTGAATTTCCAGTTGGAAAAACAACAAAAACATCCCACAGACGTTGGAATTACGCCTGAGAAAGATCAAGATTGCCAAGCAGCTCTGAGTTTAGTTTCCAGCATGGCTGCCAATGATAAAGAATGTAGTAAAAATTGCTGGCATAAATGATTTATTAGCATTTCTGGCGATTTGCATTTGATCAAAACAGATCCAACAACACGGCAGTAAAATATCTATTTGTGAACATGTTCCTTTTGGGTTCATAAATGAACAGAACTATGTTCTTCTGGACTTTTAATCACCAATACCAAGTGACACTAAAATAAATGGCAAATTGCAAACAGACTGCTTTCAACTTGGCTGTGAATGTATTTCTAGATCCAAGCTCCAACTCCTAACCAACTCCTTGGCCATTTCACAAAATGACCTGAAAGCTTCATTTAAATCATTTTAGCTACCAACTCAAGGAAAAGTGTTAACAATGGTTAATTAGCAGAGCAGACAAAGGTGCTAAAAACTGTTCTTTTGTCAACCGTGTTCACTTCAGAGGAAACGTGCTGTTGGTCAAAACCACCAAGAACTTTCAGCTGCTCTAAAGAGAGGCTCAAGTTGCCAAGTAAGTCCAGCAACTGCCTCCATGAAGAGCTTTCAGTTATAGGATGGGCTTCCCACCAGCACAGGGCTTTCCCAAAAACAACTGGCAGGTTGGAGTGTTTCCACACAGCAAGCTGGAATGTTTTGGATGCTGAGCACAGCGTCTTCACAGGCCTGTCCAACAAATCAATCCTCCAGCTGCAGCTGATCCAGAAGCTGCTGCTCGCGTTCTCACTAAAACCAAGAAGATAGAGACATAACACCAGTTTTAAAGTCCCTCCACTGGCTCCCTGTAGCTAAGAATAGATTTTAAAATACTGTTGTTAGTTTACAAATCACTGAACGGTTTAGCACCACAATACAACAAAGATCTGCTGTTATTGTATCAACCTTCCAGACTCTCAGGTCTTCTGGTTCTGGTCTGCTTTGCATCCGCAGAACCAGAACCAAGAGAGGAGAAGCAGCTTTCAGCATCTATGGACCAAAAATTTGGAACAAACTTCCAGAAAACTGTAAAACAGCAGAAACCCTGACTTCCTTTAAATCTCAACTAAAAACACACCTGTTTAGAATTGGATTTGAAATGTAATATGTAACAATGTATTGTTTATTCCATGATGCATGACTTTATGTTTTTGTGTTTATGATGTAAAGCACTTTGAAATGCCTTGCTGCTGAAATGTGCTATACAAATAAAATTTGATTTGATTTTGATTTGAGCTGGATGGGCCTCAATCCATAGTAGAAGTCATGGTGGATCTTACAATGGGAGGCATACGATAACTGCCATTGTTATCTTAATATTGACGTTAAATATTTAGGCTGAAACATGTGCAGGTTTCAGACATATTTGAAAACTAGCATCATTATGCAAACTTGAATACTGATTCAAGTTCCCTCACTCAAAGACAAATACACTTTAATTCTGTGCAGAACAAGATAGTTTAAATATTTTCATTAAAACAACCAAAACCAAGAAATAAACCAGAAATAAAACACACACAGTTGAAATCATAAAGAAAATGGTTTATGATGCCTCTGAAAACAACATATCCCCTAAAAGAATATTGACCAATCTCATTTTAATTTATCATGTCATTATTTGCTCATAAGACATAAATTATTTTAAGTTATTTTCAAAAGTTCGAATTGATTCAAAAGCTCTGAGCTGGAATGCTTTTTGAAGCTCATTCCATTCATTCCAAGACAGAAACCTCTTTCTAGGATTCTTTAGGGAAACATTTTCAGGGCCACACATCTCATTTAAAATAAACAGTCAGAGGAGGGTCTCACCTACCAGTGACATAGAAATGAATCAACAGAAAGCTGCCTTTCCTCAGCACGTGCCGTTTTCTAAATCATTCCAATGGCCATTTTCCGTTATGAGTTTGTGTAAATTGTCTGTCACATTTTGTCGACTGAAAACAGCAACTTGTGAAGAACTGTTTTTCACTCGTGTGACCTCTGCTCTCTTTGCTGTCTGCACCATGTAAGTTATTGGCTGTAAAAGTCCTCTCTCCATACAGTACTGATACGTAGATAAGTCTTTGGGGATGGAAGAGTAGTCATTTGTAGGTCAGAATGGCACAAACTGCAGAGTGTTTCTCTCGATGGGACTGAAGAACATTGATTTCTCCTAAAGTGGCTGAACGGACAGTCTTAGAGAGTAAATGGAGTGATTCTTCATCTGTTAAGACGCAGGTCGTGTTCTATAGGGTGTGAAGAGCAGTGACCTTCAGCACACAATTCAGACTCAAAGACAGAGCACTGTGAAAATCCTCTGTCTACTTCTGGAAACTGCTAAACATATCACAGAGACTGTCCCTGAAGGACAGAGGCACTGAGAATATGTTGATAATATGTTATTAGGATGACAAAGGTGAAATCAATCCCTGTCCCCATGCTCAGAGAACAGTTTTTCTAAATGAATTTCTGAAGGAGGCACCATCTTTTTCTGGAGTTGTTGTTTCAGCATGCTTCTCAGCAGGGGAGGTCGTCAGCTGGGTCTGTGCTCTCCCAGCTGGAAACATGACGGCATGGCAATAAGGCCTTCAGCATCGGGGAAACAGGGCTCTAAATCCACACTAAATACTGATCTCACAGACTATTAGAAATGGCAGAGGAGACTACTTCAGAGTGTTTCTCCTCACTCTGCAGTCCCACATGCTGTAAAAACATGTAACAAACCAGCCAGCTCCTCCTCTAATGACGAGGCTTTGACTGAGTGTTCCCCAGGGAGCATTCGTCTCCATTTGCAGGTCCTGTGCACTTCTGGGACCATCACAGTCAGACCTGACCAGGTATTGCATGTAAGCAATTTGATTGGCAGCAGAATGGATTCATTGATTGGTCTGTGGATTTCTGCTACAAGATGAGCAAAGGTGGTACTTGTGGGACACATACGGCTTCAACTGGACGAAGCAACCAGCAATGAACAGATAAACCGAGAAATTTCAGAGATATTAGCTGCCCGAGACATCATCATCACCAAAAGTACCTGTGTGCTCAGCTTCCCATGTTCCCATTCAAAAGTGAGGAACACACCACCATTGGCTAGAACCAAACTACACATCAACCGGCTGGAGTGAGACTTGATAATGGTTCTGAATTACAGATTAAAGTGATCACATCTGGCTGGAACTGATGATGATTAACAAATGTTAGGTTTTCATACAGAGGAAGCCGCTGAAGAGAGGGTTACCATGACGACACAGAGCTCCACACAGAGCTCCATGTGGACTTTCTTTATTAAAGAACTATGCAATAACACAAACTTCTGTTGAGTTAGAAGTGAATTACATTTACCTTTAAATGCTACAGAAGGGCACTAGACTATAATAAATTCAGAGTGATTACAGATTAATCACTATAAATTTACATTTGCAAAGCTGGTTGCCGACATGCAGTAATAAACCTGCAGCTGTAATTGCAGCAGCAAATGTTTCTTCTCCAAACTATTCACTCAGAAGGGATAAAAGCATGCTGCACCTTTCAGAGATTTTTTCAGACAGAAATTTTACAGGTCTGTCTTCACATTCATCTCTATCAACAATGATTTAATTAATGAGATACTGTAGCATTTCATTTCCATTTGGGATCAATGAAGTGTTTTTGAATCTGTATTGAATTTGAAAACCAGATCATTTTTTCCTCCAACTAATAACTGTGAGGTGTTTAGTGCTAATCTATCACATCAAATATGTGGTTGCACTGTATTACAACCACATTTATTGGATTGTATGAAGTACAATACAAGCACACAGTGAAACACATATTGAAACATGTTTTATATTCAAATACAACATATTGACTTCTTCCACGTTGCCCATGTAGACCACTGCTGTTCTAGAACCAGCTTCGTTGACATTTTATAACCAAGTGGAACATTTTTCAATCTTATCATTCTTGACTAAACACCTCTGGTTGACTCTCATCCTTTTCATGCCAAAATGTATCAGTACAAGAATAATTGGCAGCTTTGGAACTGCAAGCAGACCCAAAATGAAACAATGGTACAGAACTCCACATACCAGCAAAAGATACACAGCTGATGCTCAAAGTCTCGTTTATAACAAACAGGAGGCCGATCAGCAGCTGTCTGTTAGCGTTCCGGTTTATAGGAGCTGCTTTTGAAGAACCTATGAGTTTAGTGAAGTTGTCTGTTATTGATTGGTGTGCTCCTCCAAACCCTGACATGGCCCCCTAATGGAGACCACCGGCTGCTCTGCAATGCAACAAATTGTGTTCAAGCCAAGTCTGGGGCCTCAGGTTTGAGTCCAGGTGCTGCAGCAGCAGCTTCCAGGACTGACGGCTGCTTGCAGCATCTGCGGCCTCTCAGACTTCTGTGAATTTCAAAGAAGCCCTTTTATCTCCACAAACTCTTAGTGAAGTAAGAGATTTTGTGACCATTATGAATAAAATATGAGATCATGTTAAACTTAAATATTTCTGGATATTCATATTGGACATATTTGAAGAAATGTTTTTTGTTTTTTTGTTTTTTGTGAGTGATTTCTGGCTCATCTTCAATGAGCAAAAAAAGCCATTAACTGTAAATGTCCTTCAATTTCTAAAAGCACTCTAAACAGCAGGAACCTGTTGTTAAACAGCATAATTAAGTCAACATAATCATAATGTTTTT